ATTGAGGTTTGTTGCTTTGTGGCATGAATAATATTATTAGTCAAGTGTAAAGGCATGACATTTGGTATAGAAACCACTGCTCACAGGATAACATAACCTTCTTCTTGTGCAAGTTATCAACTTACAGTGCATTTCTGTATTAACGAACGTTTAGACAAGCTGTTAAACAATGCTTGGATAATAATGTTATCCTGTGAGCAGTGGTTTCTATACCAAATGTCATGCTTTTACACATGACTGATCAAATTGTAATCAGCATCTTTTTTATGAAAATAGACATTTTATTTTCTCCGGCATTGACATGTACTCTACGTGTACATATATAATTCCAAATTAATTTAATACTCTATAAAAATAGAGAAAGAATAAGGGGATGAAATAAAAAATGGAATGGAAAAGAGAAGAAAAGGAGAATTACAGGTATTATTAAGTCCTTTTCGTATCCAAAACTTTGTGATAATTTTTCACTGTATTTCTTTTGAACAAAGTTATAATAAAATAGCATCATTTCCTGTTACCTATGGATTTCTTTTTCTTTGAGGAACCTCCCTGGAAAGACCTGGTAGACGGCTATCGTCTTCTCTCACAAAACGAACTGGATAAGTTACCAAAGCCAGCAAAGTTAGTTTGACTTCTAGTAACTTAGAGTCAGTAATTGTTATATTATTGGTCATAACTGGTTGCGCCACTAATAAATTTTCTATTCCATGAAAAGTTTTGTGGGATTAGTTGAAGGGGCTCAGGTCCATTCAACCAAAATTTTGAAGAATAGCTGGAATTTTTTTTAACATCAGTTTTTACTCCATGGTTCAGTTAGCTAGAGCAAACCAACCATTACATTTTGGCTGATTTCTAGTAAGACTGGCCCAACTGTGTTAAATGGCTGACGTTAAAAGTTCACATTTTTTTCAAAACATTTCCAGTCAAGATGGACCGATTTAATCTTTTCATTTCTGGACCAAACTTTCTGGAATTTTGGTTGAATTAATTGTACATGAGTTAGAACATAAATTGCATCATAATGAAAATTATTAGAACCTAATTGCAAGTTAAGGGGATCTGTAAATATCTTATTATGTAAACACCAATGAAATACCAGGTGAGCATAACAGGCCAGAGCCCCAATTTTAGTGCGCGCAGGAGGAGGCCTAAACTCCACAGCAACGACCGCAGATCGGTTTCCAATAACAGACAAGCGTTACTTTCATAATTAGTTTTAAGCATTCCTCCAGACACCTTTGGAGAGTGCCGGACACGTTGCCTGTCAAGGAACTTTGTACCTCTGATTAAAAATGAACCAGACATCTCAAGGAAATGCGAAATTTGATCAGACTATTTGGGATTATAAATTCATTTCACGGTCGAAGTCTACCTTCGCGGCTGGCTTCGCAACTGATAACTACAGTTTTCTCGCCGCATTTGGATTCAAATAGGCTTGATACGCTTTCAGTGGCTTTTCAAGTGCTCTCTTTTAAGAAAATAGTGCTCCCATGGCTTATTTAACTTCTTTCAAGAGTAAGTATGCTGTGTCAACATTGGTGACCTTCGAAGCGAAAACGGCGAGTCGGCGTATCAAGTTTTTACTGTGGAGCCACATGTAGGAATACACTCTCTGCTGGCACATCTTCCTCTGGTTTGGAAGGAACTCTGCATGGAAAAGACCCTGACCAAAGAAATTTTTAAATCTTCTCTGTTTGAACGTTTGAGAATAGCCGTCAACAATGTACATTTTATAGTCGCCGGTGTAAACGAATGCGAGAGCTTGAGCTCTACTTCACATCTCCTTGAGGAACAGCAAGACCGATTATCTGATTCAATAGACGACCTTTAATATCAAACGGCGAAGGATTCAAGTCTTTTTTCTCTGGCTTAAGACGATGTAAACGTCGATGTGCCTCCAGTGACAAATCACTCTCCAAAAAGCCCGCCAAGCACTGTCGATATCCCGCCAAAATCTTATTCGCTGGCAGTAGCCCAAGACGCTTGGGCGATCTGTATAATCAGCGTCACAGATACAGTATGGTTTCTATATCAGTCATTTTAGCCTCCTTGAAATGTCAATTATAATCCAAAAATTATTATTACAGGTTACCTTTGTATTGTTACTTGTTTTTTACTTAATAGGCCAAATTATAGGGCTACCCTCTCCCTCAGAGCTTACAGGCGGCGCGCCCAAGATTTTGAGGTGAAGGTAGTCTCTCTTTTGAAATGTCGGTCATAATCCAAATACTTTTGTAGGTGATTTTTGTAGTGTCATTTGTTTCTGAAATAGGCCAAATTATGGGGCTACCCTCTCCCTCAGAGCTTACAGGCGGCGCGCCCAAGATTCTGAGGTGATGGTATAGTCTCTCTTTTGAAATGTCGGTCATTATCCAAATTATTATTGTAGGTCATCTTTGTACTGTCATTTGTCTCGAAGTAGGCCAAATTATGGGGCTACCCTCTCCCTCAGAGCTTACAGGCGGCGCGCCCAAGATTCTGAGGTGATGGTAGTCTCTCTTTTAAAATTTCGGTCATTTATCCAAATTATTATTGTAGGTAATTTTTGTACTGTCATTTATTTTTGAAAAAGGCCAAATTAATTATGGGGCTACCCTCTCCCTCAGAGCTTACAGGCGGCGCGCCCAAGATTCTGAGGTGATGGTAGTCTCTCTTTTGAAATGTCAGTCATTATCCAAATTATTATTGTAGGTCATCTTTGTACTGTCATTTGTTTCGAAGTAGGCCAAACTATGGCGCTACCCTCTCCCTCAGAGCTTACAGGCGGCGCGCCCAAGATTCTGAGGTGATGGTAGTCTCTCTTTTGAAATGTCGGTCATTATCCAAATTATTATTGTAGGTCATCTTTGTACTGTCATTTGTCTCGAAGTAGGCCAAATTATGGGGCTACCCTCTCCCTCAGAGCTTACAGGCGGCGCGCCCAAGATTCTGAGGTGATGGTAGTCTCTCTTTTAAAATTTCGGTCATTTATCCAAATTATTATTGTAGGTAATTTTTGTACTGTCATTTATTTTTGAAATAGGCCAAATTAATTATGGCACTACCCTCTCCCTCAGAGCTTACAGGCGGCGCGCCCAAGATTCTGAGGTGATGGTAGTCTCTATTTTAAAATGTCGGTCATTTATCCAAATTATTATTGTAGGTAATTTTTGTATTGTCATTTGTTTCTGAAATAGGCCAAATTATGGGGCTTCCCTCTTCCTCAGAGCTTACAGGAGGCGCGCCCAAGATTCTGAGGTGATGGTAGTCTCTCTTTTGAAATGTCGGTCATTATCCAAATTATTATTGTAGGTCATCTTTCTACTGTCATTTGTTTCGAAGTAGGCCAAATTATGGGGCTACCCTCTCCCTCAGAGCTTACAGGCGGCGCGCCCAAGATTCTGAGGTGATGGTAGTCTCCCTTTTGAAATTATAATTGTAGCTTATTTTTGTAGTGTCATTTTTTTTTAAAAATAGGCCAAATTATGGGGCTTCCCTCTCCCTCAGAGCTTACAGGCGGCGCGCCCAAGATTCTGAGGTGATGGTAGTCTCTCTTTTGAAGTGTCGGTCATTATCCAAATTATTATTGTAGGTCATCTTTGTACTGTCATTTGTTTCGAAGTAGGCCAAATTATGGGGCTACCCTCTCCCTTAGAGCTTACAGGTGGCGCGCCCAAGTTTCTGAGGTGATGGTAGTCTCCCTTTTGAAATTATAATTGTAGGTTATTTTTGAAGTGTCATTTTTTTTTTAAATAGGCCAAATTATGGGGCTTCCCTCCCCCTCAGAGCTTACAGGCAGCGCGCCCAAGATTCTGAGGTGAAGGTTGTCTCTCTTTTAAACTGTCAGTCGTCAACCAGAGTATTATTGAATTTTCATTTTCCAGAGTTCATAGTGGTACCTTCTTTATAGTTTTACGTGATTTGTGGCAAAGACAAGACCAGGCTAACAAATTTATTCTAGTTTTTGCGTGGTGCAACAATCAGCATGGCTGACTGGCCTCCAAAGTTCCTTTATAATTTGGACGCTTCTCAGGAGTTTCTTCACTGCTTGTAATCCAGAATTGACGATTCTCAGCAGCTTGAAGCTCTTGCATTGCATCAGTTGTTCCTTGGACGGCGACCTTTTCTTGTCCCGAGTACAATATCGATTCTCGATTCTCGACTCTCGATTACCGTATCTTGCTCGTGCAAGGTTTCGGCAACGGGACCAGTACTAACACCATTGCAGGAAAACTGTTTGGTAGAAGAAGAGTAAAATGGTGGCTTCGGCGCGTTACCTGTCTGATGCTCAGTATATCACTGCCAAACTGCGCAACAGAATGCGCGAAAAACCCCTCAGGTACTTGAAAAAAAAAGAAAAAAAACCTGAGCGATATAATTTAGTAACTTATTCATTTAGTAACTTATTCATGGTGTTCAGCTTCCGGTTTATTCAGCTTATTGCCAGTTGTAGGCAAAGTTCACGCGCACATTATCGCACTCTAACTGGGTTGATTGTGAGGAAACTCTTATGTCAGTCATTGACTAAAAACCCCCCCGCGTTAAGCCTTTGTGCGACGGACGTCCCTTAGAAATATAAATTACCCACACTGATCGCCAATTCTACTTGCAAAGTGTTGCCGATTGAGTTGTGTAATGTATTCTAGAGTGTAAATTTAGTACTAACCTCGCAGACAAGGATGCAATGAGACATTTATTTGCGTAGTTAGGCCTACTATCCATTGGACAAGCATCCCTTTTATTTTCTTTCGATAGCCTGTCCATGCACTAACCTTTGGATACAGAAACTAGCTGTCTCTCGCTATACCAAAACTTGATAGTTTTGGCGTTCAATATTCTTAACGGGTGCTCACAAAACACCGGGACTGCATCGTGCGCCTTTGGCGCTTTTGTACCCTGCAAGCTTTGGTTCATCGCGTTTTGAAAGATGGAAATTTTTATATTCCCGCGTAAAAGAAGACCGATAAAACGTGTCTTTCATTGACTACAGTGAAACGCCCGGAAATGAAGAATGTTTTGAAAGAAACGGGAAAACTGATAAAAGTAAATATTTTTTGTGATAAGTGAAATTAATGAGAAATAACCATAAACTAGTTTTGTTGTTTTGTTTTTTAAAAGCGGTTTGTCTGGTACCAGATTTGTACAATTACTTTCAATCATACATGGATCGGGTTTTGTTAATTATGACAGAATGTAATTAAAAAGCATTATGTTGACAGCTACAAGGCACATGCTTGCCTTAAGCTGCAAGTATCCCGCCATGTTCTAAACAAAGGGCCTCTAACCAAGCCGGCATTCTAATCCGCCACAAATATGTGAAGCACGCGTCTTTCAAAGTCGCCTAGTACTTAAAACCGGGGCTCTGGCCTGTTATGTTTCACATGAAAACATGATCTGAAAATGATGTTTTATCTTCACAGGTGAAAAGGTGCAATTTATCTTGTAGCTGTTTAATACAGGTCAAAATAATTGAATAATTTTTTGGTTAAAAATTTTTTAACCCAGGTTGATTCTCAATTTCCTTTGTCTACCAGCCCTGATAATTCATGAAATTATTAGGGCTTAGTGGGAGACAAAAGAAATTGAAAGTCAACCTAGTTAAAAAGATTTAACCTGAATTTAATTTTGACCTGTAACAGTTACATGATAAATTGCACCTTTTACAGAGAAAAAGTATTATACTAATATAGTGTGAACTAGTTTGGTATTTCATTGGTGATTATATGATAAATAGAACATAGTTACATGGCAGTCACTTGCAGATGCAAAATTTGTCTTCTCGTATTGAAAAAATATTTCACGAGTCAGCTACACTCACTCATGAATGATATTGAGGAGAAATTCTGTATCTCCACACGGCATGGATGTATTAAATATCCTCTATTTGTACTGCACAAACACTTAAAGATTAAAGCTCTTCTTTATGGTTTTTGCAGGAACTACAAGTAAACTCTCTAGGACTTCAGAGAGCACTGTTGTCGTCAGATAATTTTAGGCTAGTTTAGTAGCTTTCAAGGAAACTTGTTTTTTAATTAAACATCTTTCACTTGTATAGTTTATTTTGTAGTAATTTCTATTAATTTTTTATCAAACCCAGCTTCTCAACTATCCTCTAGCTCATCTGTGATGTAGCATAATTGGGCAGGGTCTGACATGCAGTGTAATTCCTGATATATTGTTTTGGTTTACATGTTTTAGTTTTGGTTATTCATTCACAACATTATTCATAAATGGAAGATATTACCAACCATGGCTTATTGAAAGGTATTGGCATGATCCTATACTTGCAGTAATTGGATTCCTTAGTCCACGTCATGTCTCTAAGAGTGTGTGTAACTCCAAGTTTTGCAAGGGGTTATGAGATATGTACACTCTTTTTTATAAGACTGTCCATTTTTAATTTTTAGTGCAGCCTGGACCATTCTTATTTTCTGGGCAGTTCAGCCTGGAAATGTTCATACAGATATGTTTTTAAATTTCAATAATATAACATTATGTTTGAAGGGCAGGAAGAGCTTCCAGCAGTAAGTGATTTATGGCAAGGTTTTTTAAAGGCAAGAGATAGGTTTCCACACCCGTTGATAGGTTTCCACACCCGTTAGATTTTTTAACTCGAATCAATGAATTCTTTATGTTTTTGAGCTGATAAAAGTAAAGCACAATCACTTGACGAGAAACAACATGCGGGTACTTAACAATGAAGCTCTGCTAAAATTCGAAATCCAGTAAGGTGAAACTGCAAACACTTAACTGCAAACTGCATTTTGCGGTTTGTGGTTTTACAAGAATAACTAGCTGATACTTAAGGTAAGGTAGTCCCAGGTAGTACATGAAATATTGATGAAACAAATGAATACTTTTAGTGTAAATTTCAGCTAACATGGGTTAGTTACAGCCTTGTAGATCTATTGCATGTCTCTGTTTGAAACTATGTGTAATATCATTAAAAGGAAGTTGCCTTAAAACATGTGATTTCAGGTTTAAAGGTTTAGGTGGAGATATTGTGAAGAGAACCGTCGACTCTTTGGATGAGGTAAGAGAATAACTGGCAATTTTCATCAACAATCATTGCATTTAATTCCCATAGAGCCTGTTTGAATTCAAGACTGCTCTTAGTTGAATGTTTTTAGCTTGCAGGTCTTTATGATGTTGTTGTCAACTGCCCAGGCCTGAGAGCTCGAGAATTAGTGAATGATTTGTCCATGGACCCTGTCAGGGGTCAAGTTTTAAGGGTAAGTTTGGAAAAATGTAGAGAGTGCAGGGGCGGATCCAGGATTTTCTTTAGGAGGGGGTGCCTCGTCTCTTGCTCAGTACTTCAACACCAATAAACCACACAGTTTTTTTTTGCAAAATACTAGTTGTATTAGAAAACCGCAGGTCATCTCAGGGGGGGCGGGGGTGTGCACCCCCTGCACCCTCCCCCTAGATCTGCCCCTGGGGTGTGTTAAATGTGACTCAACAAAGCTAATGCAGATTAAGTCAAGCCAAACATTAATGCACTGGTTTCAATAGTATTACTGTATTTCTTCTGCTACACACGTGTTATCAGAGACCGGTTATGAGTACTTTCTACTTCATTTATAATATCACAAATTGTCCCACTACATTGGCTGGAGGGTTGGGGGTTGGGTTTGGGGGTTTGGGGGTTCTGTGAGGTTGACAGGAGCACTGCCATTTGCTTTTGCTTGATATTTCTCCTCTTACTTGCTTGCCATTTTTTTGCTCTCCTCTCACACATCCTTGAGTAGATATACACTCCACACTCTAGCTGGTCTCTCAGAGTTGAATTGACAGGTGCTTAGAGGTGGGTAGCCTGTGGCTCATTTGCAAGGGTGTCCCCCTTGTTGCTTTGTAGATGGCCGTTCTTCTCTCTTTTCACTTCTTTGGTACCCACCCTCAATGACTTCTACTGGTTAAGAGTTTAAATATTTCTTGTATGCCATGATCTCTATGTTAGGAGTCATAGTAGCCAAGTCTAAAGAGAGCTCTTGACCAGCAATCTTTTATTATCCAGATTAGTTGCCCACTATCTGATTAAAACTGTTTATCAATTCTGATGTTTGATGATTGCCCAGTTTCACAAGGGCTGGCAAGTGGTATCAAGAAAATTGTGGGTCTTTGAATCTTTTCATCTAATTACGAGATCTTGGAACCATTTTTCATGAGTCTTGAAGTCTTGTTTTTGTGAGTTTCCAGAGCATTAATTTTCTGGCCATGTCAATTTTTTCGCGAAGAATCTAACTGGCCAGTCTAGACTGTAGTATCACCAGCCTTTTCACTGTCCGGTGTGTTATTACTGTCAAACCTCTGCTTACCATTATGGCTACCTCAACTCAGGGTCCTCAAAATTTTGTTCAGGTCAGCAACCCATGTTCATTAATTTATTGTTATTAAATTTTTAGGGGATCATATCACACTTCTAAAATCGACCATGCAGCCTGACCTTAATATCAACACCACAAATCTTTAGTATTGCAGCATCAAAAAGCTAATAAATGCTGAAAAGAAACTATTATGCAACCAGAACCACTGTGATACTTAAAATATGCTAAAACAACTCAACAAAAACACACATAAAGAGTGGTTGGGTGGGTCAGGTCAGGTCAGGCAGTGGTGGATGGTAGCAAAAATACCTGAACTCAGGAACACCTCGTGACCTGAAGAGGCCCTGCACACTTAAAACCCATATTACCAGCCATGTGTGAGAAATTATTGTTTACTTTAGACTTTTTTGTTTGAAACTTGCTTTTAAATTATGTCAATTGCTTTCTAGGTTTATGCACCTTGGATAAAGCACGCTTATATAAGAGATATTAAAGACCTTGCAAGCCAAGGAAGATATTGCTATATTTTGCCACAGTAAGTTATTTCAAAATACTACAGAATAGTGTCAAAAAATAATTCTGCTATGTACACTTCTGTTCCTTTACCAGTATCCCTCTTTCTTTAGACCACTAACTGGGAGTGCATTAACCATTTTTAAAGCAAACTGGTTAGAATGAAACAGTCCCAGTGCTAAGGAGTAGTCATGTACATTGCTAATATTACTGACATGGATCCGCCCTTGAATAAGCTATCCCACCTTGGGTTTTAGATAGATTAGATAAACTTTATTTTAACATAATTTCGGGTTTAAAGAGTAGTATTGCTGCTAGAATCTCCGAATGAAAAGAAACAAAATAAATTAATAAAAAAATCGAGCACAATACCGTAAAAGTCCGAAAATGGGCCCCGCGGCTTATATTTTTCAAAGGCCCTTTTTGGAGGGGCTTATATTCAAAGGCCTTATGTACAGAGGGAAATTTGCGTTTCAAAATCGATTGGGCTGGCTTGTAGCTGGAAGGAAATTTACCGTTTTTGCTTTGTTTTACTTTGTATTTGAGGGTAATTTCCAAGTACAAGCCCCCCAATGGGCTTATATTCAGAGGGGCGATGTAACAGCGGGTTTTTTACGTTACGAGTTTGGGGGGCTTATATTTGGAGGGGCTTATTTTCGGAATTTTACAGTAGGTGATAATATTAAAAATAATTTGACCATATGACTATTTACAACAATGTCAACATTTAAAAAATAGGCAACAAATTGCATTACATAACTTATAGTGTTTTCTACGATAATGGTATAAAAACTACGTCAATATTACTAGCAGTTCTAGCGTTGTCAGGTAATAAATTCCATGATTCATCGTGAAATAAGTAAAGGAATTTAGGCCACATGTAGACGTCCTGGGTTTCGGAAGAACGGGTTTCCTTATACCCCTAAGACCGTACCGTGTATTTCTTTCCATAAAGTATGAGCTAAGATAAGTGGGCATTAGCCCATTTACACATTTGTAGACCAGAAGAAGCATATCCTTTAGACGTCTGTCCTCCAACTATGTCATGTTTAGTTCCTTAAGAAGATCTTTTTAAGAGCTTATTATATCATCCAATATAGTTCATAACACCCATTTGTTTAAGGTACTATTTCCCTGTCTTCAGGGGCTAGTCTTTTATTACCTATGAGGGGGGACTAGCCATTTGAGAAAGCTTAGAAGATTTTCAAACCAATCCCCCCATTCGTCCTGGCTTTTTAGAAATAACCCCCCATAAATTTTACTTGTTGTGAAAGTGATTGCTGTTGAAACTTCAAATATTCTAGCCACAGTTATCTACAGCTGTGTTTATAAGATCGGTGTTCACTATTTGCGGCTGTGACGTTCAATTTCAATTCATGCTCGTTTAACTGATTTGACCTACTTTCATGAAATCTGTTTAAAAAAAACCCCTAGGTAAGGCTCTCTTATCTGAAAATGGTCTCCCAAAGCCAATCAATATTTTGAAAATGACCCCCAGCAAAATGGCTGCCCTCGTCGCCCTCCCCCCCCCCCCCCTTCAAAAGGGAAAAAACGACCTAACCCCCATCAAGGCTGTGCTCTTAGACAACTGAAGGGAGCCCTGCAATGCTCTGAACCTGTGAAATCTAAGCCCAGCCTATGATTTGTAAGAAAAAAATATATTTTTAGTTACCCAGCAAAAGTTGGGCACCAGGGGCCACCAGATGCTGCTAGAGTTCAGCCTTGTCGATACATGTACATTAATATAACAGAGAATTGACATTAAAGGAAGGAAAAAATGATGCTATCTGTCTTTAGGGTTGGAAGAGTAAAAAAATATTTCTTTTTGCCAGAGCCAATGGAGAAGTTGTTCTTGGAGGGACTGGATACCATAATAACTTTGACTTAAGAGTTAGTGCTGATGACACCAGACACATCTTGGAAGCCACTAGTCAGCTGATTCCAAGCCTGAAAGTGAGTAAAATCTCTGCCAGATATGTTTTGATTATAGGACTTTTGCTACATGTTCTGTACACTTTTCTCAAAAGCATCTGTTTACATCTTGTTCAAAACTAGGTGATAGTTTGTTTCAAATTCCAATTCAATCTGGAACTCCTAACTGCTTTGTTGGTAAGCCAATTACAACCTGGTATCCTCCTCTACCTCTTTGTTATTATTAGAGAGCTCGAGTACTAGAGGCATGGGTAGGACTCCGACCTGCACGTCCAACTGTCAGGCTGGAAAAAGAAGTCAAGAAATTCAAAGACAAGCTTGGAAAAGAAAGAACTCTTAAAGTAGGAATTAAAATCTTCCATTAGAGCCCTATTAAACAAGCATTCAAACTAACAGTGTTCTTTTCACATGAATCCTTCTGTTTAGGATTTTAAAATTTGCGTTACAAGCCTCAACATTGAAACAATGTTTTTGCCATCTTGGATTTTAAAGGATATAGCACCAGTGTGATACTTCCCAGGTAGTATGCCTGGGTATAGCTATGTAATAAACCAAAGATTGTGGTGCATTCGAGGATCTTTGGGCGTTTTTTATTTTTATTTTGTTATTAAAAAATAATGAGCACAGAAATGACAATAGTGCATGTCAAAACAACACAGTGTCACGGGGACAAAACTTGGTATGGGGACAACACTCGTCACAGGGACAACACTTATTAATGTACATGCAGCAATATGTATATCCTAAAATATTAATAGCAGTGTTGAGTAGCTATAATGCAACATTATATAACTGTATTTTTTCCAGGTTGTCCATAACTATGGTCATGGTGGGTCAGGTTTGACTATGCATTGGGGCTGTGCCATGGATGCTACTGACTTGGTGTTTCAGTTTTTAGCCAGAGGGCAAAAGGCTAAATTGTAAAGGAGTACTTTTTAAAGGCTGCTTTTCACTAATGACAGAGAGAGTCCACTAATGACAGAGCGCACAGTGAAAAGAGCATTTTGGGTGCGGATACAACTCCACTGCTTACAATCTAGTGAATAACAGATTGTCAGAGGTGCTGGTGTTAGCAGGGGCACCCAACGACAATTTTCGGAAAATTATCTCTTCGGAAGACGATTTGAGATCTAGAATTTTCGGAACATTTTCTGACAAATTTCTTGCTTGTCTGCCTCTCCTAGGATTTTCGAAGTTAAAAAAAATCGTAGAATTGTCCATTTTTAACGGATTTTTACCCTAAAAAGGTCACCTAGAATTTTCGGGAGCCTTTTTTCTGGCTGAAATTTTCGAAAAGGTAAATTTTGATCCCTATAATTTTCGGATCACTATACTTTCAGCTGGGAAATCCAAACAGATGGAAAATTTTTAGGGGACAAAAATAAGCCTTTATCTACCGTGTAAATACCAAAGTACGTTCAACAATGCTATGTTTATGTGGTTTTGAACTATACTCTTGTTGGGTGCCCCTGTGTTAGTGGCAGAACTTATACAGTGCATGGGTATAAGCATTTTGATTAACTTCAGATCAGGCTCTATTTTCGTTTCGCTTTGAAAATGACATTCCAGCGAGCAAGACGAAACGAAAAGAGAGCGGTAGCCGTTAGAGAGAATGTATGAGAACCGCTAAAATTGGGCCTGATCTTAGGTTACATTTTGATTGGATTATTTTTCAGCTTCTGCTAAGACTTTGACAATCTGGCCCAGTTACTGGTTTATGAGCGAGAAAATTGTAGGTGAGGCCAGAAGAAAAAAGCAACATTCTGATTCGTTGACCTGATTCCTTCAAGTTTATGATTCTGCTGACTTTAATCCTTTGATTTTTACTAGGTAGTCATAAGTGCCTTTATTTATAACAGTGACTTAATCTCTGTCACTAGTGGAAATCAGCTATAACACTATAGTTATATTGGTCTTCAATTTGACATGCTGTTCTGGTCCGGATTGTTCAAATATTGAATAGCTGCAAATGAAACCGCCCGCATGCAAAGCAATTGTGCTATTTGTAAATTTCACTCTTTTCTTTTAGTATTAGATAACTGCATTTTCACACTTATAAATCTTTGTCGACAATTTCTCCTAAATATGGAAGCGTTATCGTGGTTTGCAATCGCGCTGGATGAGAACAAGAACTAGACGGATTTTAAGAGAAAAGGCGGACTGCAAGCAGTCTAGCCTCCAGTTGTTCAAAAGGGGGATAACGCTATGCGCTAATTAAATTTATCCGCTGAATAGTGATTTATCCGGTGGATGGCGCTATCCAACGTTTGAACAACTGATAAATCACTATCCAGCTGATAACCTCTATTTAGCGCATAGCGTTATCCCCCTTTTGAACAACTGGAGGCTAGACTGCTTGCAGTCCGCCGCCTTTTCTCTTAAAATCCGTCGAGCGAAAGATTTTTTTTTTTTCATTTTACTAGTTCTGGAAAATTTGCCCGAACAACGTTCTTCGCAGGTGATTGAGAAGTTATATGTTCTGTTGAATTTAGCAACCTGGTTAAGAAGATTCACTTTTCAATATACATACTGAAAATCATACTCTCTCTGGAAAGCTATGTCACAAATTTTCACACGCAAAGAGTTGTAGTTTACATTTGAGAAAAGTAATACGTCCAATCAGAATCGCGAAAGATGTTATTGCACGTGTGAGAAATATGATTCGTCCAATCAAAAGCCAGAGAGCGCCCTCGTTTTGGGAATTGCTTCGCAGACATTCAACGAGAAGGAAAGTGAACATGGAGTGGAAAAAGTTTAGTATCTCACCTTCATTAAGAAAATTGTAAATAGCCGGTAAAACTGCAGCAGAAGGAGAGAAAGAAAAGGGAAATGAGAAGTGAACTTAAATTGTACGTTAACTTGTAATTCGTGGATTAACTCATATCTTTACTAAAAAGTATCCTTCATATGATAATTTTTTCTATATCTTTTTACTGACATAGTTCGTTTTCTTTTTCATTTCGCGATATGTAAAGGCAAATTTTATCCGTTTGGAAAGATTTAAAATAAAAGGCTGGCAGAATGATAAATGCCTCCTCACTTGTTGGCTACGCTCACTCTTTCAATTTCTGATACGTCAACAACTCGTGCGTAAGAGGAGTATACGAAATGAGCGTTCTACGTCGGGTGGATCCACCGTTTTTGGTGACGTCATGGAAAAAATAGGTCAGCACTTAATGGAGCCTGGGTTAAAGAATAGGCTGTATTGCCTTGCCTGGGCTTGCCCAAACCGTAATGGTTTTCGATTGGTTGATTAGAAAATATGAAACGTTTTCATTGGTTAATTCATGGTGTCTGAGGAATAAAGTCAAACTTGCATGTCACTTACTATCAATTATGCACGTTCTGTTTTCTGCCCCTCACTCTCTTAGTTCCAGTTCACTGATTCTTGGCGGGCAAATCGTGCATATTAATGAGGTTAAAGGCAAACTAGCTCTTTTTAGCACGAAAGACAATGTATTACTTACCCCACACCCCTCTTACTCCTTCACAATACATTTATTTTCCCTCCTGGAAGATATTTCATACATTCCTGACAGTGAAACCTCTCTACGACGACCACTTTACTCTGTCCCTATGAAGGTGGCCGGTGCGGAGGGTTCAACCGTATACAGTATTTACTGCAAAGCTCTCCTATTTACAATTTGAAACATAGGAAATTAGAACAAGTCTACACGAAGGCTTCTTGTATCTCTGACCTGCTTGACGGAGTCACAACTCTCCCCCCAATTCTCCGCACGGCTTTGCTACCCACTCCTCTGCCAAAACTTCTTCCGCTGTTAGGAAAAATGAGCCCGCACTCATTATCAGAGACGGCGGAGGTCGAGCCTACCAAAACTTTGCTCGCGATAACGATTCTGCCGGATAGGCAGGCTACCTGTACAGCTAAAGCAGTAGACAAAATATACTAGAAAAGTTTATCAACTCCAGATCACCAAGTGATTTAGGCGGCGTTTAGTCTTGCTTCAGTGGTTGGAAATTGGATAAAATGAGGAGGCGATTAATTCTACACGAAACATGATTTACTCGCTAAAGGTTTTTCAGTTCTTACTTTAGTGACGGTCGAATATTCTTGAGGGCATCTACTTTTTATATCGTTTTCGAATGTTTCTGAATTGATTTAGTACGCGTAATTAAATACGACCGGAAATACGCCTGCGGTCGCAGGCTGTACACGTGTATAAATACACGAAAATCCAAGGGCCTGTACAGTACCGCAAGTGATCCCCAACCGCAAATGATCCCGAGACCGCAAATGATTCCCAAAATGGACCGCAAATGAACCTCGACCGCAAGTGATCCCCAAAGTTGACCGCAAATGATCCCGAAAAAAAAATAGGAATGGCTTAGACTCGAGTTAGCGGATCATCGTGTCTATTTTATTATTAAACAAAAAGTAAGATTAAACGCTAAATTTCAGTTCTAAAATAAATACATGAATAAAAACTAAATGAAAAAATCATTCAAGTGTAAAAACGAAGTCGGTAGGCAACACACGACGTTTACCTCATGCCAAAATGTTGCTTGTTTCAATGAATTTTCTCTCTGGCGGGTAGATTATACCTCTGAAGGAAAACGTTTTGTCTGAGCAAATGTGATTTTTGCCGCTTATTTCATACTGGGAGGTCATGACACGCATTTTCGGCAGTTATTGTTGTTTCTGGTCGGCATGATTTGTCCTTTAATGCAAGAGCATTTCCTTTGACCTCTTTTCAAATGCAATGCTTTTCATTGCGGCTAAATAAGGGTTTTAGGTTGTTTAATTTTCTTTAAAGTGCCTCATGGATCCGAATAATTATAAGCGACTTTTTTTTAGTCCGTGAATGTGACGGTTCCTACGATGTTTTGTCACTCGATAACTACCGCTTGCCTCGCTTTTGCGTTTCTCATTACCAGGTTTAGATTCTTGGTAACTGTCTCCAGCAAAGACACAACAAATAGATATACATATAAGCGTCAATATAACTATTCGCAACATGTTCATGAGCTGTAAGCAAGTTTCTCTTTCAAAATAAACCGTAACCTGTGGACATTGATAAGTTCGGGGGCATTTTGACGTGTGTTTATTTCAAATCATGTCTTGTTTCGTAAAGGGCACTCCCAGGCCTGGGACACTCCTAAGTTACGAACCAATGTCTTGCTTTTTATCACGTAAAATTAACACTTCAGAGAAAAATCAAAACTAAATATTCTGAAAATTAATTGGACACTTCTAAAAAGATCAGTAAAGTCAATAAAGCTCTTGTTATGTAGAGGGTGCCCAGCTTTGTATTCCTCAGTAGACAAGTTGCATTGAGCTTGTGCGTTAAAATAATAGAGTTTTTTCTGCGTAACGTCCTGCCTGTGTTAAATTTTCAGCGACGAAACAATTCTTTAAAGAAAATTGAAGCAATTGACAATGAAAGAAGTATACGGTTGATACCATATCCTTTTCAGATTTATTCTACTTTTTTATGGCCTTGTATAGATTGACCTGAGACGAAGCGTCCTCCTTCCCTCTTTATTTAGAAGGCGCGAGAAAAAGGTTCCTTTTTTTATAATCAGTCCTTTTTTGTAATCAGTCCCATAAAATCCATTCCATTCCTCAAGTTTTCACGGGATCATTTGCGGTCAACTTTGGGGATCACTTGTGGTCGAGGATCATTTGCGGTCCATTTTGGGTATCATTTGCGGTCTCGGGATCATTTGCGGTTGGGGATCATTTGCGGTACTGTACAGGCCTCCATTGGAGAGAAATTACATCATTGCCAAAAAAAACCTGCTTTACATCGTGCGTCATTTCAATCATCTCCGACGAAAAAACGCATGCTCATCACAAGACTCATTTGTATACAATGAAAGTTTACAACACACGGCCAGTTGGCCTCACCATCAAAGTTTTGCTAATAAAGATTCTCCTTTTTTTTCTGTCGACCACTGAATTGTTCACTTGTTCCAAAGTAATCAACGCTTTCAAACGATAGAATTCGTCAACCGACCCGGTCCGGAAGAGCTCTAAATCCATCAATCTTTCGTAAGCTTTCTTCGCAAAACATGCGTGGCTTCGGTCACGCAACGACTCTTATTCCCAGTTTCCACGGTCTCTGCTAGGAACGCCTGGGAGCATGTGTCCTAAATACTAAGTATAAAAACGGCTTGCAGATTATGAGTCTCGCTACTTACGCAAGCGAGACTAAAGAGCGTGTTTGAAGAGATCTGACCATAGGTCTGACCATGCACCATTTCATCAACAAATGAAACTCTGACAACATGAAACGTAGTTAATAAATGATAAAAAACAATCAAAGGACCACAATCCATTTACTGCATCAAAGTTCAGTGTTTTCCATTGGAACATTTTGACTACGGTAGCGGCTCATAACACTACTCTACATACCTTATCCTAGTGCTGTAAGCATGTTTCTCGTTTGTTGTTAAATGAGTGCTTCACAAAAACTACACTGTAGTACACACGTACATTGTCTATTGTCCAACTTGTAAACCTTACAGTTTTTTTTAGGCCTTTGGCATTTCTTTACTTTTTTTACTACCGTAAATCCTCTATTAAGCCCCCTCTCTAATAAGCCCCCCCCTTTTTAAAAGAGGAAAGTCAATAAGCCCCTCTCTCTATTAAGCCCTCCTCCCCCCCCCCTTCCATTCTTATTCTTCACAAACAATCAACGTGTACTTATCAGTTATGGTTTATTCAGGCTGGAAATTCATATTGTTTTTGGTCTTCGGTCGCATGACCTCCAACTTCATGTGCTTAACTTTTTCAACTTTACGCTCTAGTTCTCTGTGGAAAATTGTTAACATTTTCTTATTGTTAGAAAAAGCAGTATAACGCCCGGGAACCACAGGTCCGTCCTCGAGAAACCTTGCTCCCGTTGATGCGTTTCTCTAAATTAATTAAGCCCCCCCTCTCTTTTAAGCGCTCCCCCCCCCTTAAAAGTGGTTGAAAAAATAAGTCCCTATATTTAGTCAAATCAAACCTTTATATAAAAAGATTAGAACTGCCCTTTCAAGCACTATAAAATCATTCAATTTTAAAATTCATTACTGTAACCCACAGATAGCGGAGGTCAGGGGAAACAAAACATTGACCCAGTCGAAAACTAACCCCCACTAAACAAGCCAAGAATGCGATTAATTCGTGTTTTTTACAACTGTGGTCTAACTGTTTTTTCCCTCGTACAGTCAGAATAGGTTGATTCAGATAAGGCTATGTTACTCTTCAACTGGCGGTCAAATAAGAAAGCATCTTTCTATCTCCTGTGAAACCAATTCGAGAATGCTGAACAGCCAGATTATCTAACACCAACAAATCACCATTTCTCCATTGAAATCCAACTGCACATTCCCAGGATTTTATTCGAATGTGTTGTATTATTTCTGGTTCTATCACGCTGCCATCACCATAGTACGTGTGACATGGGAACTTATCATCTGGGATTTCTTGGCCGTAACATGTTGGCATCGCTTTGTAGTACGAACCATGGTGAGTATGTGCTTGATTGAACCAAATTTTCTCATTTGTCACCGGGTGCCGAATAAAAGCAGGCCTAACTTGCCAAAGGTACAGATCTCCATCTGAATCCCATGTGATATTGTACCCTTGATCCTTTGCTCGTGGCTCAACATCCTACAAGGTTGATGGAAAAAACTGAATTAATTCAACTGAAGATCAAAACGTTTACTGTTCAGGAGCCCATACGGCCATACCCTCCATCAGCTTCTACCAAAGTGTTAGTCGCTCAGTCTAATTATATCATTTTCTTTCGGTCAAGTTCTTTTGTTCAACTCACCAGTTGTGGAGGCTTCTTTGTTATCTCTTCAAAGGCTCTGCAACGATCTTTTCAACCTCGTTCCCAGGACTTTCTGCTTTGTTTCGGGCTTGGCCCAAAGCGAATGAAAACTGAGAGTGAGCTTGACTTTTCCTTCCCCATTTGACCCTCACTTTAATTTGGGAAAATCCTAACTATGCATTGATTTGCCGAAAGTTAAACAAATACAGTAGACTGAAACATTTATTTAAGGCGTTGTGACCCAGATTAAATACGAAAATATCGTTCCAGGTGATGGGTTTCTGTATCATATCACAGACCCCAGTGTTTTACCTCTCTGTCCTCAGTTGCAAATATGTGTTGCCAGTTCATGTACTCATCGCGAGTTTTATCAGGCAAATATCGTACATATCGGATCTGCTTCTCTTCAAACTTCTGCAGAATTCCGGGATCCAGTTTGGAAATAAGCTCGCTGTTTTTCACTAATGGTGTTTCCCCACCACAGCCATCTGCAGGCTCCTTCAAGCAGAAAAAGAAAACCTACACAAGAAGAAACAAAGTAAGATTATTTGTAGATGTCCAACAGAAATAAGGCAGTGATAATGAGGGACATATCATGTAAGAGATGTAGTACTTTTGCATGTAACGTTCATTTTTAATTAGCTAGCAGAAAAAATGGAGGGAAACATTGTATACCGGTGAAGACTCGTCACCCATTTCACACTAAACAGAGGCTAAGCTGGAAACTCACAAAAATATTTCAAACTTCGTTTTTAAGTTTTTCAGTGTAAAAAATTAGTATAGGTAACAGCATGATTTGTACTACGAAAAAGTTCTGAGAAAATAGTTTCATTTGAATGATAACACCATAGGATTTTATCCACAGAAACAAAAACTCAGTATGACGAATCCGGCAACTCAACATAACTTGGGCGAGGAAGGAAATGGTTCAAAGGGGGTTCAGCATGTCTTACAGAGCTATCGAAAAGTAATTAGAGTATAAAGTGTATAATATAAATAAGCTGCAATGTTCACTTAGGGAATATCGTTTAAACTATACGTTTAAATCTTTAAAAAAAGGTAGAAAAAAAAAACTCAAAACCTTACAAGAGAAGAAAAATTAACGGCAGAAGAACAAGTCACAAGTATGTGGAATATGATCGTCCGGATTATAAGATTGAATTCCTGAACAGAAGTACAATATTCAGAACTCTAGCCTATAAGCATCTGTAATCCCGATCGTAAAAGCAAAAAATCGTATTTCACATACTTATGACATAGCTTCTGCATGGGTTAAAACCATTCAGTAGGAATAAAAAGCGTTTGAGCTCGAATTTATTTTACCCCTGTCCAGACTACAAACTCTTGCGTTCAAAGACGAAAAAAAAAATTTGCCAGTTAGGACCCCCTCTGTACAAGTTTGAAACAGGTTCTTATCTTCTAAAATTGCTAAGAAAATTCTATACACTTGGGCAAGTAAGGTAACATTCAGGGTCTTCTTTGGAGACATTGGTTTCTTAACACAGTCACTCCAACTGCAACTGCAATGTAATGGTATACATGCAGGTTTTACAGAAGGAATGAGCTGAATACCACTTAATACTTTAAGCCACAATGTTTTTTTTTTCTTCAGATAATAAGAACCTAAATTTTTGCTAATTACCCTTCATGTAAGAACATATTTAGGCTAGCTTGGGAAATTGCAGGTTTTTAGTCGGGGGGTTATGCTGTATTTCGAGGGTGTTAGTGACGGTCATTTTTCTATGAATATGGCGTCTGTCTTTTTTGTATGTAGTACACTTCGAACGTTTATCAGAGGTAAAATGAACGTTCGTCTGCTGGACAGTTCATGCTTCGGGCCTTTTCATTATCATTACCTTGTGTGGAAAAAGTTCATTATAAGCCATTTCATTATGTGGCTCTATCGTATAACTTGGAGGCTCAGTGCTAGCAATGTAGGTCCCAACATTTTTATCGATTTGGTTGCGGACTCCTGTTCCGCCCTCGTATGTCATGGTTTGTCCTTGGATTGCTTGGGCGATGATTGAAAAGTCCTCTGCACTTTTAGCTGGGAGACCACGAAATAATATTGCAGGACTCCGAGAAAAATTTTCCTCCACATATTCCATGCATTTTGCAGTCAACTCTGCAAGAGAAGACTTTGTTGAGTCGTTTACTCGCACAGCGAGTGGGAATAGATCACGTGGCTCTGCCAAAAACTCAGGAAAGCCACCCCCTGTGGAACCTGGAAGGAACTGCCTGTCTCTAAGCTTTGATTTGAATCTTGTTACCAGGTCCTTTCGAGGCAAAGGCTTAAAAATGTTGGCTGTGACTGTGCTTGTGTTCAAATGCGAAGAGACAAGGTAAATAGGTATCCTGCTTGAACTTCTGAGGGCAGGTGAAAGCTTCCAAACTGCCTGAAATGCACGAGCCGACATGATCTGTGGAGAGAGATAACAAAGTAGAAGTATTGCACTTTCTGACAAATAAATACTATGGAAAATCTATAGTCGCATCGGTCACTGTGTAGTTCTTGTCATTCACTATATGATCTCCCCTCGTAACTCGTGAGATGATTCTTGTGGGGCGCATAGCCCTCCATACATCGGGTGTATATGGATACAAAAGTGTGACGAAAGGAGCGCTTGAGAGGTTTACCCTCTTAAAAGTTTCCCGTCGGGTTTCAAACACAGAAAAGGTAAGGATTACCCTTTGCAAAAGGGCTACCTGAAAAAACTGTATATATATCAAGATAGCCCCAGCATCGGACAAACCTCCTTCTTTGAGTTTAATTGTCTCGCCTACTGACCGGTTAAATTACTGAATTTAAGAAAGTTAACACGCCGTGCTAATGAAAACACCTAGCCCGTTTGGATTTCATTGAAAGTGTGTTTGTTAAATATTTCAGACTGAGAAAGAACCAAAACGAAGTATGAGACTATGCGAACGTAAGTAAATTTTACGCGCCTAAATAAATTAGTATATGTATGGAAGGTTGCGTGAAAACGTAAAAGTTGAACCTCGCTCAACTTGAATGTTTATCCGTCGGCCTTACATACATTGGCTCTATTTTATTTACGCAGGTAAAAATTACGCGACAGTGCAAATCAACACGAGTAATTTTTCCGTGCAAACGCGCGTAAATAAAATAGAGGCAATACTTGGCCTCACACCAGAAGCTATTATAATATAACTTTAAATCAAGTAAGCACTTGGAAATCGGAAGTTGCTCTGTAGAGTGTCTTAGCGTACTTTTGTGTCTTGGCCTACTTCAGTAACTTGGCGTGCTTGAGGTACTTGGCTTACTTAAATGTCTTGGCCTACTCTAGTAACTTGGCGCACTTTTGTGTCTTGGCCTACATCAGTAACTTGGCATGCTTGAGTGCCTTGGCTTACTTTTGTGTCTTGTACCTCAAGCACGCCAAGTTACTGAAGAAGGCCAAGACACTCAAGCACGCCAAGTAACTGACGTAGGCCAACACACAAAAGTAAGCCAAGTACCTCAAGCACGCCAAGTAACTGAATTAGGCCAAGACACAAAAGTAAGCCAAAACACTCAAATACGCCAAGTAACTAAAGTAGGGCAAGACACTCAAGCACGCCAAGTTACTGAATTAGGCCATGACACAAAAGTAAGCAAAGACACTCAAATACTCCAAGTAACTAAAGTAGGGCAAGACACTCAAGCACGCCAAGCTGAACTGAAGTAGGCCAACACACAAAAGTAAGCCAAAACACTCAAATACTCCAAGTAACTAAAGTAGGGCAAGACACTCAAGCACGCCAAGCTGAACTGAAGTAGGCCAACACACAAAAGTAAGCCAAAACACTCAAATACGCCAAGTAACTAAAGTAGGGCAAGACACTCAAGCACGCCAAGTTACTGAATTAGGCCATGACACAAAAGTAAGCAAAGACACTCAAATACTCCAAGTAACTAAAGTAGGGCAAGACACTCAAGCACGCCAAGCTGAACTGAAGTAGGCCAACACACAAAAGTAAGCCAAGACACTCAAATACGCCAAGTAACTAAAGTAGGGCAAGACACTCAAGCACGCCAAGTAACTGAAGTAGGCCAACACACAAAAGTAAGCCAAGACACTCAAGCACGCCAAGTAGCTCAAGCACGCCAAGTTATTGAAGTAGGCCAAGACACTCAAGCACGCCAAGTAACTGAAGTAGTAGGCCAAGACACCAAAGTAAGCCAAGACACACAAGTTAGGCCAAGACACTCAAGTAATCCAAGACACTCAAGTAGGCCTGTACCTAAGTAAGCCAAGTACCTCGGTACACTAGAAGAAAGACTGCACTATAAGAATCTATATATCGGTACACTATAGGAATCATATATGAAGTACCTACCGATGATAGATCTGTGTTACTGACCAGAAGTAGTGAGGGCTCAAAAGGAATGAATGAACAGTTGAATGTTGAATGAATAAAGTTGAATGTTGAATAAATAGTTGAATGTTTTAAAAATTAAAGTTGAATGTTGAATAAACGGTTGAAATTTTTGAATAAATAATTGAATGGGTGAATAAGGAATTGAATATAAAATGAATAGTTGAATCTTGAATGCGAAGTTGAATATTGAATAACGTGTTGAATGTTGAATATAAATTGAATATTAAACGCATAGTTGAACACATAATACAAAACTACATATAAAATTAAACGAATTGAATATTGCTACATTTTGCTTGCCATACTCCTTCGAACAGTTATTTTACCGTAGAAAGTTGTTGGGTGCCCCAGAACCTAATTCAAAACTTTGAGTCAAACGTCGTTTCCGCTATTTTGCCCGTGCTTTTGTAGAAAATTAAAATTCCGCACAGCAGAGGCACGACGTATAAACCTGACCGAAGTTTTCCTTTTGTTTCTCGATTACTACCTTCTATAGCTTACGTATTATCACCGCTATTCTTCTGGATAACAGTGAGTTCAATTTGTGGCTTGACTCGGCCGCCATAAAGTATTCCATAAAGTTGGCTTTCAACCTGCCGCAGTGCAAGATTGACCTGTCATCCGTTTCAATGCGCCTAATAAAATGCTTATGTTCTACAAGTTCTAATTATATTATTTTAAGACATCATTCGAGTACCGTTTTTATCTTTTCAAAGCCTGAGACACGGCGACTACCGAACTCATTTCGGTTTTCAAACCAAATGCCAGAAAAAGGCTAGATCTGACAACTGAAGAGAAGCGAAACTAGCGGTGATCGAACTGACCTGTTCGTGAGCGCCCAAACTGCCAAAAAAAGACCAACAAATTCAGTATTGTGACGCCAAAAATACACTTCCCCTGAATAAAATCGCAAAACCTTTACTTAACTAGAGATTTATTAACCACTTATAGCGAACAGAAACAGAAAAAGTACCTACCGAGTTTTTGAACACCACCTTCCAACTTGATGTTAGCGTGACACATTCGACAATTGGCTGAGGGGCGTGTTTGCACGAGAGTATGTGATTGTTTACCATTTACCAAATTTTTCCGGAAAATCCGGTTGGAAAGTAAATGGCACACGAATTTTTGTAGTTAAACGGGGAAGGGGAAGGGGGAATTTGCGCGCGCGAACGCCTGCCGCGCAGGCTAGACTTTTTGAGTCGTTCCATCAGAAAATTTCCGGGAGCAACGGAACATCTGAAAAGGTTGTCCTGTTTTTCCGGACGGAATATCCAAACGGAAATCCGTGATCCATTTCTTCAAAGCCATCTTTGATACCGGGTTAAGGCCTTCGCAGTCGTTTTGTGGTAAATTGAACTGATTTGTACAAATGGTAAACGCGATTCCGGGACGAAATTTACCAGTCCTAAATTTTGCGTACAATTTGCCCAGACCGTGGATCGACCGGCTTGCCCATGTATTAAAAATGTTACACAGGATATAAACACCGCTTGAGAATATTCCACGTGTATTTTGTTCATAAATTTCCTTAACTTTTACAACTCTCGAGTTCGTAACGCCGATTACTTTGCTTGCTTTTCTCGCACATGGTTTTTTCTCTTACGTCATCAAAACGTCATATATGGTTTCCACTCCTTAGGCGCACGGACGCCTGGCACTAAATACAAATGCTTTTAACAATGAAATTTCTATGCCCAACACTCCTCCCTAACTTAAAGAAATGTAATCCGTGACATTTGACGTGTAATACAGAATAGTCCCTTTTACAACAGTAGTTTGCGGTTTTGGATTTCTTGCTTGTTAAATCCTGGAGTGGGGTGATCCCCGGGGGGGGGGGTACTGCCATATATGGGCTATATAGGTATGTGCCGCTGTGAAGGGTATGGTTTTCAAGCAGTTTACTCTAGGATAGGGTACATAAATCAGAGCGTTTGGCTCTAGAATAGAGTATCATTTTTCAGGAAACTGATCAGTTGGTTGAAGATTTTATCTAGACTAGGTAAACAGCTACTCTAGGATAGGAGGATTTGGGGAGTTTACTGTAGTATAGGGTAGCAAAATTCAGCTGAACTAGCTCTGGTAAAGGTTAAGGGTTCCAGGCTCCCAGCGGCACATCCCCACCCAGAAATTCCTAAAGTGCCCCCCCGGGGGGTGATCAGGCCCAGCTCCTTACAAACCACTTAATTTACGTCTCAGCTTGTCTGTCCATACTAATGTTCACGATTCTGTAATACGACGACTATCTCAAGATAGCGTGAGTTACAGCATCCACACAACGAATGTTGAATACACCAAGGAAATCTCTCTTTTTTTTTACAAGGTAATGGACAAAAAAAACAAAAGTCACTGTTTATCTGTACCGAAACAACTGATAAGGCGCTCCCCATTGTGGTAACTGCGGTCCTGCTGGATAGGGCATCATATAAGGCAACATCATGTTCGGGTTCCAGGACATCATAGGTGATACCGGTGGAGGAATATAGCTCAAGACTGGTGGCAGCGTACTGTACTGGTCCGCTGGAAGTTTGGGAATGTAGGGCTCTGCTAATGTCTGCATTCCACACTGCTGTGTCCCTCCGGATGGGTTAACATTGATAGGCCGCACATAAGTTGGCGCCCCAGGACTATCATAAGTGAGTCGTTTAGGTGCCTGCCTCACACGTTGGGGTCGACCTGAGTTGTTGGTATCCTCGCGATTGTCCACCTCCCCACTGACTACTTGAGGGTCTTCATTCAACTGTGCCTCATCAGGAGTGTCAGCAATGTTAGCTCCCGTGCACATTTCACTTGACACCTCACCTGATCATGAATGCACATGTGTGAAGTCTGGTTCTTCTCCCACCCTTTCCTCGCTCGTAGACTGTACCTGCATCTGCATTGGGTCATCTTCTGGTGAATCGTTACAGTATGAAATGGCTGAAAGAACATCATCGCTGCCACTTTCGTGGCTGTCATCTTCATGTCTTAATGGCTGGATTTCATGACAATATAGGAGGGGGGTCTTCCGATGGTTTCCCTGGCAGATAATCACAAGGAAGTAAGAGGTTTCGATGTAGAGTACGGCTTGGTCCTTGACTTGATTCTGGTCTCACATCATACACTGGGCTTCCCCCACCCTTTCTCGCAACGACTACTTGAATCTTATCTTCCCAAAAGGAACGGAGTTTTCCGGGTCCACCACGAGGAGTAAGGTTGCGCACCAGAACACGGTCTCCCACTTGCAGCGCTGATGATCTCATTCGTTTGTCATAATTTCTTTTCCCTCTCATGGCACTCTTCGTAGCAGACTTGGACGCGAGTGAGTAAGCTTCTTGCATCGCAGATTTCCACTTGGTAACATACTCCGCATGTGACTTGCCCCCTGTTTCATCTTCGAGATCAAAGATTACATCAATTGGCAGACGAGGACTCCGACCAAACAACAGAAAAAAAGGAGAATAACCTGTTGACTCGTGAATAGTGCAATTGTATGCATGAATGAGTTTGTGTACATGGTACTTCCAGCTATGTTTGTGAGCTTCAGGGAGGGTTCGCAGCATACTGAGTAGTGTACGGTTCGTCCTTTCCACGAACCCATTTCGTTATGGATGATATGGAGTAGTCCGAGAGTGCATTACTCCAGACAGTTCTTCAAGCCTCTTGAACAACCGGTTTTAAAATTCGCCTCCCATGTCGTGATGGATCCTCTCAGGGAATCCAAAGCGAGGAATAAAGTCATTGAAGATCTTGTCGGCAGCCGTAATAGCGGTCTTATTCCTCGTCGGGTATGCTTGAGCAAATTTAGTGTAATGATCTACAACAACCAGTATGTATTCATAGCCCCCTGATCTCCGCTCTAGGTGCACAAAGTCAATAGAAACCAATTGGAAAGGAGCCGCTGTGATGATAGGCTGTAATGGTTCCCTAGTTGTTAAATTAGGACGTCTCTGTTTCAGACAGCAGCATGTGTGATGGATGAAGTTTTCTGTCTCTTCTCATGTTTGGCCAATAAAATCTTTCTCGGGCTAGTGCTAGTACTCTCTCAACACCGAGGTGGCCCACTTCTTCATGGAGTTCACGATAAACAGAGCGACGAAATTTCTGTGGAAGAACTACCTGCTGGTTGCGATAAAGTAATCCACTCTTCCTGTTTACATGGAGTTTATACCACTCGTTTAGGAGCTTACGAACCAAAGGTGGTTCCTTGTGCTTTTCTGCAGCCGTCGGTTTGTGGTTTGTCTTGATAAACTTAAGGACACGCCCAATGTGGGGATCTTCTCTCTGTGCTTTCACTAAATCTACCACCGTTACTTGATTGCAGGCTACTTGTGACAAAAAGTCAACCTGGCAGAGTTCCTCTTCTTTATCGGTCGGGGACGTGAGCCAAGTTGAGTCTCCATTCGACAATGTCTGAATTGCAGAGATTGAGGCATTCAAGCTTTCACGGGGTACTCTCTCAGTACAACTGTCCATGTAAGTCTTAAAGTCACTGAGCAATCGGGAAAGGCTATCGGCGTCAACGTTCAACTTGCCTGGTCGATACCGTATTTCGAAGTTGAAGTCAGAAAGCTCTCCAACCCACCTCAATCCTGTGGCATTTAACTTGGCAGACGTTAAAACATAAGTTAACGGGTTGTTGTCCGTATAAACCACAAATTCAGGGGCATAATAGAGATAGTCCCTAAACTGTTCTGTAACTGCCCATTTTAGAGCTAAGAATTCTAACTTTCCCAAATGCATATGGTAGTTGCGCTCATATGGGGTGAGAGTCCTAGATGCATACGCGATAACTCTTGTACAGCCATTCTGTTTCTGGCAGAGGACAGCTCCCAAGCCATCCTGTGATGCATCGGTGTGTACAATAAATGGGTCATTATAATCTGGATATGCCAACAGAGGGGGTGACGTTACTTTATCTACTAAGGCATCCGGTGCAGACTGGTGTTGGGGTCCCCAGTCCACCGGTGACGAAGTTGGTAGCTGTCCACTACGTAGCCTGGTGTTCTGTCTGGTCGAAGAAGCATTCTTCTTCCCCGGCAGGTCATGGTTGAGAAGGTCATAAATGGGCCTTGCTATTTGTGCAAAGTTTTTGACATGGCGACGGTACACACCAAGTAGGCCCATGAGTCTTCTTACTTCCCCAACAGTTCGCGGTTGTAAATTCTTCATCGCAGTCACAGCATTTGTTGCTTTGGGATCTATTTGATACCCATCTTGAGAGATAACTCTTCCCAGGAAGGACACTTCCCGTTTGGACAATGAACACTTTCTAGGCTTGAACTTTACATCATAACTTTTCAACCGGCGAAGAACTTTACGAAGATGTTCAATGTGTTCAGAAAATGTCTCTGACAATACCATCACATCGTCCAACTAAGGGATGCACATCTCATCACGCAACTCTCCAAGACAGTTCTCCATAAAACTTTGAAAGTTCGCTGGCGCATTCAAAAGACCGAAGGGTATCCGCACCCATTCGTATAACCCCCAAGGCGTAACAAAGGCAGTAAGTGGCTGACTTTTCTTTCCAACAAAACCCTGATGATAGGCCTTTCCCTGATCCAAAACACTAAACCAGGACTTCCCCCTAGAATGTCTAATGCTTCTTGGATCCGAGGAATGGGATGCCGATCAGGCACCGTCTTCTTATTTAATTCTCTCTGGTCTATGCATAACCTCATTGTACCATCTTTCTTGCAAACACAGACAACACTACTTGAGAATGGCGACTTGGACTTCCGGATAAAGCCTCGGTTGAGTAAGTCCTCGATATAACCTTTAACTTCTGGGTAGAGTGGACGGGGTGTGGAAATGTAATTCTTCTGCACTGGCTGATCGCTAGTCAATCCAATGTCCATCTCTAGTTCGGGAACGCAGCCAACGTCATCATCACTCATTGCAAATGCATCTGCTTATTCAACCAACAACTGCTTTGCCTGCTCCTTCTGTTCTGCCGTCAGTCCACTCAAATCAACTTCAGGTAACCAAGACAAGTTGCTCTCAATTTGCTCGGCAGGTGCGTCTTGTTTACAGGGAGGTCTCTCACATGGAGTTGGTGTCTCCGGATCCTTAAACCTGACTTCAACAGGAGTCACTGATCGTATAAGCTGAAGGCGCCCCAAAACAACTCTTCCTGGTAGGGTGATGTTGTGGTTAGTGTTGTTGGTCACTGTAACTGATAGAATGGTTGCATTGCCCTCCTTCACAGTGGTAAGGGATTCATGTACAGCTAATCCTGAAGGCAAAGTAGCCAGCTCATCAGGCTCAAAAAGGACAGGCGTCTTACGGTGGATTGGTCCAGTGTTAGCACGACACGGTAGGTGAACAGTCTGCCCCGCAGGGAGAATCTGTGGCTTCTTTGAAGATTTAACTTGACAAAGTTCATCAGAATTAGAAGCACGGATAAGGCTAATCAATACTTTTTGAAGCTTTTCGACATTCTGTTAAGCAGAACATCATCATTTTCCTCTTCAGTGTTCCTGACCATTAGTTCTATGACATTAAAACCAATGATAGGTTGGTCAATGATCTCCCTTGTTATTAAGAATGGAACTCTTACTTCGGTCTCCTTTTCATTTGCTAATCGTACATCAATCTCTGCCCACCCACAGTAAGGAATATCTGTTCCATTTTCTTCTTGCAAGCTTATGGATCTATCTGTGCCAAGTAACTGTTCAATATCCCTTATTTGGACTGCTGGTAGTTGGCTCTTCAGAAAGTCTGCTGAAACAATGGATACTTGGGCCCCTGTGTCCCCTAAAGCTTCTGTAGGCTTCTCGTCCAGGTAGCACTTCACTGAACACTTCTTTCCCACCAGTTTGGCTATGGGCTCCTGTTGTCTGGGTGAAATGTGACTAGCATACACACCACTATCTTGGGTATCTCCTAATCCCTTTTCTTTAAAAGATCCTCTCTCAGAGAGTTCCTTGATTGCTTTGCACAACACTTTGTGTTTTGGCCAATGGGCCTTCTGACAACGAACAGAACAATATCGAACAGACTGGCACCCTGAACACTGTAATAATTGTGTGTGACAATCAAACTTCAGGCAACCACTACACTGGTGGGACTTCTCTTTTTCTGGCGAGGCTACTCCCTGTCCCGCGGGGGTAGCCTGGGTGCGTTTCCCGAATAATTTCTGGACCTTGACTGACAGTAGCGTGCAATATGGTACAAGCCACCACAGAGGTAGCAATGTGGGCATCGGTCACCTTCCTTCTTCGTTCTACACTCTTGGCAACCAAGTGGCCTTGCTCCAGTGCTCACTCCATTTCCAGCATAACTAGGCATCATAGGGTCTGCCTTCTGGTTGCTTGCTGCTTCACGCAGGTTTTTAACTTCTGCCTTCATGGTAGCTAGCCTTGCTTGCACAGCCTTTAGTGTAGCTAGAACCTGCTGGTCCTTCTGTAGCTCTTTCTTTGTATTTGATTCAGCTGCACTTTCGACAGCAGACACCTTTACAGATTTCCCCTTGCTGGCATGATTAAACTTATTGCTTCGCTCTGCTTCTGCAGATATGGCTAGGCTCATAGCTCCAATGAGGTCTTCATCTGCGACCTTTGGGTTCTGAGTGAGTGGCCTTATTTTTGCACGAATGGTTTCGTCAGCAAGACCTGTTTCCACGGCATGCAGGAACAAACTTTGTACTGAAGAGGCGTCATACTTAATCCCACTATCCGACTCTTTTGAAGCACTAATAATCTTCTGTCTAACGGTTAGTGCTCTCATTAAAAATGACTGAGGATCTTCATTAGGCTGCCGGGCAATATTTGTTAAAAGCTGATAAAGTTCTGTGGCATCTCTTTCCTGAAAATGGAAGCGAAGAATTTTACGCAACCTTGGTAGGGTGGGGTCAACCATGGTCTCTAAATAGCTTCTTAGTTGTAGACCTGGCTGTACAGCACGAACTACGGCACTAACTACTTCTTTATCGGAGTATCCCTTGGTAAGCCCTGCTTCTATTTGTGATATTAGGGCTTGGTAACCCAACTTTTCTTTCTGACCGGGGTCGCCTACCACTCCCTGTATTTTGAAATCCCTACGGAATATGCTCTGCTCAACCCCTTTTACAGGAAACTTGACTGTCTCTTCTTCCTTTACTGTGCCAGTCAGCTTTTCTTTCTGCATTTTGACTAGTTTCTCCTCCACTACTTGTTGCTTAGATTCTAAATCACCTAGTTCTTGTTTGAGCTTCTTTAGGTCGCTTTTGTTTTGTAATCCTTCTTGCCCATACTTGTCTTCCAATCCCTCGAGTGGCGGAGGACCCGAGTGGCCATTAACCCGTCAACATCATCAATTTGGTCATCGCCGGTCAGAGCATCAACTGAATCCTCAATTTTTTGCCAGATGGACCGAATAACACTTAATTTCCCCTTGCCCTCTACTACCGACGTTTCCACTTTAACATGCAAAGCAAATTCACTTAAAGCGCTCAAGTCCATCGACAACATTTTCCTGTGTAAAAGAATGAGGCTTTCCTCCGCCATCTTGCTTCTAATTAACACGATCACAACACCCACATAGCATCCAACAGAGCAACATTCATACCTTTCGTGGCCTCAAAGCTGTGTTCCACCATCTCTTGACTAGCTGTTCACACCAAATGTCCGCCTAAGCTACAAACCACTGTTTCCTGCTCGCCAAATCAAGACCAAAATGAATATCTTGGACGGCGATCCACACAAATCCTAGCACACGACGTTCGTCGACCAATGAAACTTGTACTGCACCTAATTGCTTCGATGAATTCTCCCGGACAGGCCCCCAGAATGTTACACGGGATATAAACACCGCTTGAGAATATTCCACGTGTATTTTGTTCATAAATTTCCTTAACTTTTACAACTCTCGAGTTCGTCACGCCGATTACTCTTTCTTGCTTTTCTCGTACATGATTTTTCTCTTACGTCATCAAAACGTCATATATGGTTTCCACTCCTTAGGCGCACCGACGCCTGGCACTAAATACAAATGCTTTTAACAATGAAATTTCTATGCCCAGCAAAAACATAGGCACGTTTCACGTGCATGAGCTATTTTGAAAGCTTCAGTGTAACAGTATCGGCAATCTTCTGTCTTAATCCTAAATTAAGGCTATGTTTTGTGCGAAATTGGGTATTGCTACACATTAATGAAAACGAGAACCGCAGCGCATAGCTGATTCGATCTGATAAATTCACTTTTCTTTGTCTTTCCTTCAAACATCTGGTGCAAAATAAACAAATTGTTAAAGTACTATGAATACCAACTCACCAAACGTTGCTTAGAGGGAAGACTCGAAGGTTTCAAGGTTTCTTCATGGTTTCTTAAAATAATGAAGGTCGTTGAACACCGAATAGCTAAGATTTTCATAGACTGCAATTGCATACGTTATATTCGTTCGAATTACCCGCTTCTCCCATTCACGGGCAATTCCCACTGGCTAAATTTCGATGCAAGCTGTCAAGTAATGTTTCCAACAAGTCATTCGCGATATTCCGTACCGTCATGAATAGAGGATGTTAATTGCCTAGATTTGCTCGCGCAAGAATTAGGATTTGTTCTAAAATCGGAGCAGAGGGAAGGTTTGGAGTTGCTGCTCAGAGGAAAGGATGTTTTCTGTGTCCTACCAACAGGATTTGGCAAACGCCTTATTTATCAGATGTTTGTTCATGCAAAGAGTTCATCAAGTTCCGTGCAACGGCCGACAGTCAATGTTATCTCGCCTGCGTAAAAAAAGGGGATCGGTAGACAACGCACGACTTTTACCTCATGCCAAAATACTGCTTGTTCCAATGAATTGTTTCCTTTGTCGGGTAGATTATGCTTTGGAGGAAAACGTTTTGACCGAGCAATTGTGAATTTTGGTCGCTTATTAAAAATATTTCATACTGAGAGGTCGTGACACGCATATTGATTTTCTCTGGTCGGCATGATTTGCCCTCTGATGCAAGAGCATTTTCTTTTTGGCCTCTTTAGAAATGTAAAGTTCCTCATTACGGGATTTTCTTTGTGTCCATGAATGTGACTTTTTCCTGCAAGTTTTTGTCACGCTGGGCCCAGCTCTTTAGTGTTTTTAGCAGGATGTTTAAATTCTCACGGATAGTGATTTACTGAGCCAAATCACGAAGAAGTGGATTGGAATGAGGGGATTTACTCATTCTTTTTAATCGCAATAATTGTTCATTGTCAGTTGGTGTGTTCAGTTTTTCTCCAATGTGGGAAAGCATCGCAGTACAGTTTCTAACCTTTGTTCCGCACGGAGAGCAAACTCTTGTGGAGAAAGATTATCCTTCCTGGAGGACAACGAAAAGTTCGTTTTTCAGTAGGTCGGCCAACTTTAGCAACGTTTCTCCTTTTCTGGTTGGCGCAAAAAACACATTTTCCGACCTTATCCATCCACTCATAAAATTGCAGGACTTTGAAAATGAAGCAATGATCGTCGCAGTGAACGCAATTTATGCAATTGCGTAAAGAAGCCTGAAAAAAAAAAAAAATCAGGACTTCAACGGGGTTTGAACCCGTGATCTCGCGATACCGGTGCGATGCTCTACCAACTGAGCTATGGAGCCACTGACGCTGGGAGCAGATAGGCAGGCTATTTGTACAGCTAGTACAGTAGACACAATATATTAGAAAAGTTCATCAACTCCACATGACCAAGTGATTTAGGCGGCGTTTAGTCTCGCTTGCCTGGTACGCGTGTTAAATATACGACCGGAAATACATCTGCGGTCGCAGACTGTACACGTGTATAAATACACGAAAATCCGAGGGCCAAAAAAAAAACGTGATTTGCATGGCGCGTCATTTCAATCATCGCCGACAAAAAAAACGCATGCTCATCACAAGATTCATTTGCATACAACATACAACAACCCGACCAGTTAGCCCCACCATCAAAGTTTTGCTAATTAAGATTCTCTTTTTTTTTCCACCATTGGATTGTTCACTTGTTCCAAATTAGTAATCAACCCTTTAAGACGATAGAATTCGTGGACGGACCCAGTCCGGAAAAGCTCTAAGTCGCATCAATCTTTCAACAGGTAGCCCAAGCTCGAAATATGAGCATCGGCAAACATCAGCATTGTTGCGTAACATTCGAAATATAAGGATTTGTATGGGGAAAAAAACCTATCGTTTCTGTATCCTACGAAAATGAAAGGATTTCAATAAAAAAGAAACCTTTGTATAGAGAGAAAAACGTTTACACAGAAACCCATAAAACGGCCATAAATCGGCCTGTGGACCACACAGGAGAGACGTAACACACATTTTAAGTAAGATAAGCTGTTTTTTACTGAAATCCTTTCATTTTCGTAGGTTACAGAAACGATAGGTTTTTTCCCCATACAAATCCTTACGTTTCGAATGTTACGCAACAATGCCGATGTTCGCCTATGCTCATATTTCGAGCTTGGGCTACCTGTGATCTTTCCTACGCTTTCTTCGCAAAACATGCGTGGCTTCGGTCACGCGACGACTCTTATTCCCAGTTTCCACGGTCTCCGCTAGGAACGCCTGGGAGCATGACCCACCTTTTGTGTCCAGAATAACTCTGACCACCATTTCATCAACAAATGAAACTCTGAGAACATGAAACGTAGTTAATAAATGATAAAAACAATCAAAGGACCAAAATCCATTTACTGCATCAAAGTTCAGTGTTTTCCACTGGAGCATTTTGACTACGGTAGCGGCTCATAACACTACTCTACATACCTTATCGTAGTGCTGCGCCACGTTTTGCGTTTGTTGTTGAGTGTTTACTTCTCGAAAACTACACTGTAGTACACACGTACATTGTCTACTGTCCAACTCGTAAACCTTACAGTTTTTGGATCATTCACCGTTTCTGGGCAACGTGTCGTAAATTACTCGATAAAAATCGTCTCGATTTTAAGGCCTCTCGATTACGTATTCGCCAGTCCAACCGAAAACGTGAAATCGAGTCTCGTTCCCACCTGTCTCGATTACTCGTTTCACAAACGAGAATCTTTCTGACTTTTTTGGACTTAACCCCAGGCAAATACCTTTTCTAGTTTTTGAACGAGTCCCTACGAAAACGAAAAATCGAGTCTCGTTTTAGGCCCTACGTTTTAGAGAAAAATCGAGTCTCCTTTTGGACCCTACGTTTTAGAGAAAAATCGAGTCTTGTTTTGGGCGCCACGTTTGAGTTTAACGTGTCTCGTTTTTGAAACGAGTCATCGAGACAGGTGGGAACGAGTCTCGATTTCACGTTTTCGGTTGGACTGGCGAATACGTAATCGAGAGGCCTTAAAATCGAGACGATTTTTATCGAGTAATTTACGACACGTTGCCCAGAAACGGTGAATGATCCCAGTTTTTTTTAGGCCTTAGGCATTTCTTTACCTTTTTTTTTACTACTGCACCCCCTCTTTAAAGGAAGAAAGTTAATAAGCCCACCTCCTCCCTCCCCTCCATCCTTATTCTTCACAAACAATTAACGTGGACTGATCAGTTATGGTTTATTCAGGCTGGAAATTCATATTGTTTTTGGTCTTCTGCCACATGACCTCCAACTTCATGTGCTTTATTGTTTCAACTTTGCGCCCTAGTTCTCTGTGGAGAATTGTTAACATTTTCATATTATTAGAAAAAGCAGTATAACGCCCGGGAACCACAAGTCCGTCCTCGAGAAACCTTGCTCCCGTTGATGCGTTTCGCTAAAATTACATCAGCCCCCCCTCAAAAGTGCTTGAAAAAAATAAGCCCCTATATTTAGTCAAATTAAACCTTTATATACAACGCTTGTTTTTTAAAATACAATACATAAAAAACTATTAAATTAGGAAATTGAGAAATGTGAATTAATAAATCGATGTTGTTATTGTTGTTAACCCCATCTCTTAGCCGACGGTCATGAAATGTACCCAGAATTCGAGCAACAGCCTTGAATCTCGGCACTCCCTTCAAAAGATTAGAACTGCCCTTTCAAGCACTATAAAATACTTCAAATTTAAATTTCATTACTGAAACCCACAGATAGCGGAGGTCAGGGAAAACAAAACAATGACCCAGTCGAAAACTAACCCCTACTAAACAAGCCAAGCCTACAGAATGCGATTAATTTGTTTTTTGCCTCATACAGTCAGCAGAATAGGTTGATTCAGATAAGGCTATGTTACCATTCAATTGGCAGTCAAATAAGCAAGCATCTTTCTATCTCCTGTGAAACCAATTCGAGAATGCTGAACAGCCAGATTATCTAACACCAACAAATCACCATTTCTCCATTGAAATCCAACTGCACATTCCCAGGATTTTATTCGAATGTGTTGTATTGTTTCTGGTTCTATCACGCTGCCATCACCATAGTACACGTGACATGGGAACTTATCATCTGGGATTTCTTGGCCGTAAAATGTTGGCATCGCTTTGTAGTACGAACCATGGTGAGAATGTGCTTGATTGAACCAAATTTTCTCATTTGTCACCGGGTGCCGAATAAAGGCAGGCCTAACTTGCCAAAGGTACAGATCTCCATCTGAATCCCATGTGACATTGTAGCCTTGATCCTTTGCTCGTGGCTCAACATCCTACAAGGTTGATGGAAAAACCTGAATTAATTCAACTGAAGATAAAAACGTTTACTGTTCAGGAGCCTATACAGCCATACTCGCCACTATCAGCTTCTACCAAGTCGCTCAGTCTAATTAAAGAATTTTCTTTCGGTCAAGTTCTTTTGTTCAACTCAGCAGTTGTGGAGGCTTCTTTGTTATCTCTTCAAAGGCTCTGCAACGATCTTTTCAACCTCGTTCCCAGGACTTTCTGCTTTGTTTCGGGCTTGGCCCAAAGCGAATGAAAACTGAGAGTGAGATTGACTTTTCCTTCTCCATTTGACCCTCACTATAATTTGGGAAAATCCTAACTTTGCATTGATGCCGAAAGTTAAACAAATACAGTAGACTGAAAAATTAAATACGAAAATACTGCTCCAGGTGATGGGTTTCTGTATTCTGGTTTGTAATTAGAACAGACCCCAGTGTTTTACCTCTCTGTCCTCAGTTGCAAATGCGTGTTGCCAGTTCATATACTCATGGCGAGTTTTATCAGGCAAATATCGTACATATCGGATCTGCTTCTCTTCAAACTTCTGCAGAATTCCGGGATCCAGTTTGGAAATAAGCTCGCTGTTTTTTACTAATGGTGTTTCCCCACCACAGCCATCTGCAGGTTCCTTCAAGCAGAAAAAGAAAACCTACACGAGAAGAAACAAAGTCAGATTATTTGTAGATGCTCAAGAGAAATAAGGCAGTGATAATGAGGGATATGTAAGAGATGTAGTACTTTTGCATGTAATAACGTTCATTTTTAATTCGCTAGCAGAAAAAATGGAGGGAAACATTGTAAAGTGGTGAAGACTCGTCACCCATTTCACACTAAACAGAGGCTAAGGTGGAAACTCACAAAAACATTTCAAACTTCGTTTTTAAGTTTTTCAGTGTAAAAACTTCAATAAATAGTACTCTGCAAAAGTTCTGAGAAAATAGTTTCATATTTGAATTATAACACCATAGGATTTTATCCACAGAAACAAAAACTCAGTATGACAAATCAACTCAACATAACTTGGGCGAGGAAGGAAATGGTTCAAAGGGGATTGAGCATGTATTACCGTCTTATCAAAAAGTTAATTAGAGTATAAAGTGTATAATATAAATAAGCTGCAAAGTTCACTTAGGGAATATCCTATAAATTATACGTTTAAATCTTTAAAAAAAGGCAGGAAAAAAACTCAAAACCTTACAAGAGAAGAAAAATTAACGGCAGAATAACAAGTCACAAGTATGTGTAATATGATCTTCCGGATTATAAGATTGAAGTCCTGAACAGAAGTACAATATTCAGAACTCTAGTCTACGAGCATCTGTAATCCCGATCGTAAAAGTACATACTTATAACATAGGTTCTGCATGGGTTGAAACCATTCAGTAGGTTATTTTACCCCTGCCCAGACTACAAACTCTTGCGTTCAAAGACGAAAAATTAATATATCCCGCGACTAAAAACCTGTTAGGCTAAAATTTGCCAGTTAGGACCCCCTCTGTACAAGAACCTGTTTAGCCTAAATTTTGAAACAGGTTCTAGTTATCTTCTAAAATCGCTAAGAAAATTCTATACACTTGGGCACGTAAGGTAACATCCAGGGTCTTCTTTGGAGACATTGGTGCCTTATCACTCCAACTGTAATGTGCATTGGTATGCATGCAGGTTTTACAGAAGGAATGAGCTGTACAGTTCTTGTCATTCACTATATGATCTTAATACTTTAAGCCACCATGATTGTTTTTCTTCAGAAAATAAGAACCTTTTTCAGGAACCTTAATAGCCTAAAATTGTGCTAATTACCCTTTATGTAGAACCTATTTAGGCTAGCTTGGGAAATTGCAGGTTTTTAGTCGGGGGGTTATGCTGTATTTCGAGGGTGTTAGTGACGGTCATTTTTCTATGAATATGGCGTCTGTTTTTTCTGTATGTAGTTATAGTTAGGGGTACACTTCGAAAGTTTATCAGAGGTAAAATGAACGTTCGTCTGCTGGACAGTTCGTGCTTCGGGTCTTCATCATCATCACCTTATGTGGAAAAAGTTCATTAAATGCCATTTCATTATGTGGCTCTATCGTATAACTTGGAGGATCAATGCTGGCAGTGTAGGTCCCAACATCTTTATCTATTTGGGTACGGAATGCTGTTCCGCCCTCGTATGTCATGGTTTGTCCTTGGATTGCTTGGGCAATGGTGGAAAAGTCTTCTGCAGTTTTAGCTGGGAGACCTCGGAATAATATTGCGGGACTCCGAGAAAAATTTTCCTCCACATATTCCATGCATTTTGCAGTTAACTCTGCAAGAGAAGACTTTGTTGAGTCGTTTACTCGCACAGCGAGAGGGAATAGATCACGTGGCTCCGCCAAAAACTCAGGAAAGCCACCCCCTGTGGAGCCTGGGAGGAACTGCCTGTCTCTAAGCTTTGATTTGAGTCTTGTTACCAGGTCCTTTCGAGGCAAAGGCTCAAAAATGTTGGTTGTGACTGTGCTTGTGTTCAAATGCGAAGAGACAAGGTAAATGGGTATCCTGCTTGAACTTCTGAGGGCAGGTGAAAGCTTCCAAACTACCTGAAATGCACGATCCGCCATGATCTGTGGAGGGAGAAAACAAAGTAAAAGAACTGCACGTTCTGACAAATAAAAACGAAAGAAAATCTATAGTCGCATCCGTCACTGTACAGTTCTTGTCATTCACTATATGATCTCCCCTCGTAACTCGCGAGATGATTCTTGTAGCGCGCATAGCCCTCCATACATCGGGTGTATATGGATACAAAAGTGTGACGAAAGGAGCGCTTGAGAGGTTTACCCTCTTAAGAGTTTCCCGTCGGGTTTCAAACACAAAAAAGGTAAGGATTACCCTTTGAAGAGGGCCACCTGAAAAACGGAATATAAATCAAGATAGCCCCAGCGTCGGACAAATCTCTACATGTAAAGGCGGAGAGGCTACTCTCCTTCTTTGAGTTTAATTGTCTTACCTGCTGACCGCCTAAAATACTGAATTTAACAAAGTTAACACGCCGTCCTAATAAAAACACTTAGCCCGTCTGGACTTCAATGAAAGTGTGTTTGTTAAATATCTCAGACTGAGAAAGAACCAAAACGTAATATGAGACTATGCGAACGTACGTAAATCTTACACGCCTAAAAAAAATAGTATAGTATGGAAGGTCGCGTGAAAACGTAAAAGTTGAACCTCGCTCAACTTGAATGTTTACCCGTCGGCCTTACATACATTGGCTCTATATTTTATTTACGCACGTAAAAATTACGCGACAGTGCAAATCAACACGAGTAATTAATTGGCCTCACACTAGAGGCTAAGTTTATTTCAAGTAAGCACTTGGAAATCTGAAGTTGCTCTGTAGAAAACATGGCTTCACACTAGTTGACAAAGTATATTACTTGAAGTAAAAGCTGTCAATTTCCCCGTTCATTAAAATCTTGTAACCGCTGCACGTACACGTCGTGCACATGGCCTCCCTTTCTTATTGGTCAAGTGTGTTCTCAAGTGTAGTGTAGCTCACACTTGGCGGCGATCTTCTCGGCGTCTTTGAACTACAAACGTTTCCATGGTCACCAAGTAAAGTTTAACTACGTACATTTTACGCCTTCACACTCAAAGTAGGTTCCAAGTACAGTCACATTATACTTGAAGCTCTAGTGTGAAGCCAACAAATGTATATGAAAGGCAACGCGTAAACGTAAAAGTTGAGCGAAGTTCAACTTTAATACGTTTACGCGTGGTATTTCATAAATAGCCTTTATTTTATTTACGTGCGTACGCACGGAAAAATTACGTGACAGTGGAAATCCACTTTTAGTCACGGAAGGAAAAAACGACAATCTTGACCACAAAAACTCAAGTTGGTCATCTTACTTTTCTTTTATATTTGTGTTTATTTTTCCTCTTTGTATGTGCAGAATTCAAGAGAACTTCTACCTTGAAACACATCATTTAAGGACCAATTATCATATTGATACAAAAAAAAGTCCCCTCTGTTTGCTTTAGTTTCGATCTAGTTGTTTGCTTTTGTTGTTTTTTTTTTTCTTTTTTTTTTATATAGAGAGTACCCTTTCCAAGAGGTATTTTGTACTCTCCCCTGATTTGCTGGCCACAACAAATGGTGGCGATCGACATCTTCAGCGAACTATGAAGAGTCTAGAAACTACCATGAATGTGAATCTTCCCCACCAAAATCCAAAACTAAGTTCTTCTTATATGTACTATAGGTGGATAACCGTCTCGTGATTAAAAAAGTGGCGCACAATTGACAGGATTGGCCGAGTGGGAAAAATTACAAAACCCCCTCCGGGCCTTCACTTCTTACTGCAAGTGCACGGAACCGTATCCAACGCCTTCTCACTTGCCCAACTAATTATTACTTCCAACAAAGTATTTTTTCATATTCGAAAATAACAGCAGTTTATTTATTTATCTATTTTTGTCTATTTTTTTGTTTCACGTTCCTGGTTTTATTGACCGCTGTTATGCTCACCCTTTTCAGCCTTACATCACACTCAGATTTTAGCAAATTGAGTCCTTCTCTTTCAACGCTTTTCTTTCTTTTGACATTTAATAGTAAAAACTGTACAGGGCCCGAAATGAGGAACTCATAAACATTAAAGTAATACTTTTTCTAATACTTCCTCGAAAAAAGTCACTTTTTTAACCTAAATGACAGCTCTCTCGACCGTCATGTAAATGCTGCGTCACGCAAAAGCTTAGAAATTCAAGCGTACTCTATTACAAAACCAAGAACCCTTTTGAAGCGAAAATTTGTTTGAAAATTAGTTTTCAGCTGCTCTTATACACCATGAAAGTAAAATCTCAGTAGGATCGATAGTTTTGTAGTTTGAATTTTTGTGACGTCATGTGAAAACCAACAACAGAGACAATTTGCCCAAGAATTTGTTACAAATCACGGCCGAAGGGTACGAAAAGTCCACTTCCGGTTGACGGCATGGCTCAAAAACGGCCGCGTTGCTTAAACTCCCTAGTTTATAATTAAACATCGTGACGAAATTAATTACAAACTCTCATGCAGTCTGCCACAAAAGCCGTTCTATTTGTTTGGATGTCTTAAGCCCTGTTTACAAAGAGGGAGGGTAACCCTGGTGCTAGGGTTACCCTAGCAAGAGCTAGGGTTACCCTAGCAAGATCAAGATTACCCTAGCCTGCGTAGCAAGCGTTTCCTCGCGAGTTCGTCGAGAAAGTTGGGACGAGAGCCAAAAAAAAGGAATGACCTTTTTTTTTGCTCCCGCTCTAACTTTCGCGCAATCAAACTCGATTGGAAACGCTTGCTACGCAGGCTAAGATTACCCTAGCACTCGCATATTTCTTCTTTTTTCACACGACGTGTTGACAAGGCAGGTAGGGTTACCCTAACGCCACTGGTAACCCTACCTGAGTGCTAGGGTTACCTTTGCAAGAGGGTTGTACCCTATCCTAGCAGAGCGTTTACTCGCCTAGGTCAACTTTCCGCCGTCATGCGTGACTAGTAATCGTGCCAATTTGAACGGCATTATCCAATTTCTGAGCGTAATTATAAACATCTGAAAAACCAAAAATTATTTTCTGTATACACTGATAAAATTTTCCGGTGTTTTCGTGAATTTAACGTGTTTTCCCTAGGGACCGTTACAAAGAATGTCGCGCATGATGAAACACGTCAGAAAAGCTGCTAAAGTTGACCCGGGTGATAGAATAACCCTACCTGTGCAATTTGCTTGTAAACCAGAGCTAACTTTAACCCCCAGCTTGCGTGCTGGGGTAACCCTAGCACAAGGGCAACCCCCTCTCCTTGAAAACAGGCCCTTAGGGATCAGGTCATCGTCACGAAAGTTCGTCTCATCCAAAGTTCGAGGACATGGGGCAGCCGTCACAATATCTGGGCAATAAAATGGGAAAAACACAACCTCCGAAAACCATAGGTATAAAGAGGGGGGCAAGCTTATTTTCGTGACGCCGTGATCGACCATTTTTAGTGCCCGCGAATCGCGTGATGCCTGATAAAAAATTCTGTGAATCGTGATTGCAGTGATCTCCGTGAACTGCCAAAATCCTCGAGTGTGTACACGTACATTGAAGATAAATTGAAGAAATTAAATCGTTAATTTGGCCTAGCACGGGACTAGCATCTGGTGGCTTGATTAAAATTCACGTTTGAATCTCTTGATGTAACTTCACACTTCAGTGGGCTCAGACTCACCTACAGCTGGCTTCCTTTGGGAATTTATTGGTTCGTAAAACTCTAGTAATCTCTCTGTTTTACAACAAGGGACGTAACGTTTTTCACATTTTGCACTACCTCTATTTACGAGAAGCGCGAAAACGTAAATCTGATGTGTTTCGTGACTCGTGTGACGCTCGTGAACGCGTGATAAAAAAGTTCTATATGTAAATGAAAAATAATTACCCGTTAAAAAATGGCAAAAATCTCGGTTTGTAGAATATACAAAGTGACTTTTTGGCTAAATTTTTCTTATAACCGGTAGAGTAAATTTATTGCAAATTTTGCATTTATATATACACCCCCTTACTCCCCGTCTATAAAGTATACTAAGTAGAAATTTTAATTTTGAAAAACCTCCCGCAATATCTTGGGCGAATGGAACGGTTACCAAGAAATTTTTAGTCTTTCTCGAGCTTTTGAAACCTAGGCAATATTTGCTCCTTCGAGCAGTTATTTTACCGCAGAAAGTCGTTCGGTGCCCCTGAACCTAATTCAAAACTTTGAGTCAAACGTCGTTTAGCTTCGTTTCTGCCATTTTGCCCGTGCTTTTGTAGAAAATTAAAATTCGGCACGACAGAGGCACGACGTATAAACTTGACCGAAGTTTTCCTTTTGTTTCTCGATTGCTACCGTCTATAGCTTACGTATTATCACTGCTATTCTTCTGCATAACAGCGAGTTCAATTTGTGGTTTGACTCGGCCTCCATGAAGTTGGCTTTCAACCTGCTCTGCAAGATTGACCTGTCATCCGTTTCAATGCGCCGAATAAAATGCTTATGTTCTACAAGTTCTAGTTATATATTTTTAAAGACATCATTCGAGTTCCGTTTTTATCTTTTCAAAGCCTTAGACACGGCGACTACTGAGCTCATTTCGTTTTTCAAACCAAATGCCAGAAAAAGGCTAGATCTGACAACTGAAGAGAAGCGAAACGGTACGTAGGTAAATGTAAGATTCGTTAGCGATGATCGAACTGAGCTGTTCGTGAGCGCCCGAACTGCCAAAAAAAGACCAACAAATTCAGTATTGTGACGCCAGAAATAGGCTTCCCCTGAATAAAATCACAAAACCTTTACTTAACTAGAGATTTATCCACCACTTATAGCGAACAGAAACAGAAAAAATACCTACCGAGTTTTTGATCACCACCTTCCAACTTGATGTTGGCGTGACACATGAGGCGTGCGTGCGTGAGAGAACAGCAAGTGGTAACGTTGCGAGTATGCGCGAGCCGCTGGACGGAAGTTTGTGGTGGTATTGGATCGCAGCGAATGCAGCAAAGAAAAATGGCGCCTCTTTTAAAAATTACCATCGTCTTACTCATCTGTTTTATCTTTGTGGAGTGCAGATAAGACAAAGTCTTCTTTGTAATATGCGAGATTGGTCTCAAGGCTAATAAGTCGCAGATCATTCACAATTTTGCGCGGTTTGTGGTCCATGAGTGATTATTGTTTCGTGTTTTGGCTTGCGCGCGGACACGTCGATGGGGTTCTGTGTAACAGCTGCAAAACTCCTCTTTAAACACTGGATAATTGGGAAAAAAATCTCTTCATGTAAGTTGTGACCGAGTACAAAACGTCCGACGCTTACGATTTGAATAAAACGCTGTGAAAAAAATTCTAAACGCTAGTCTGTTTATATAGTCATAACTGCAGTTCTTGCGACAATCCCCTTGCAATAATACGATTTCACGTCAGTTATGGTTCAGGAACGCCCTGTTTTTCAGAGATGTGCAACCTTCGTGCAGTGATTCTGCCAGTGATTACTTTTCAGAGATACCCCATCCTAACCACCAGTGGCCAAAGCAGGTGCAGTGCCCTAATTCTGCGACTGATAAAATTTCAAAGATATCCCACCCAGGGCTATGAAATTGTATGTTTCCTTTTTTGACTAGATGAAGACTCAAACTCAAGAAATGACATCTATTAAATCTATGTGACGCCTTAACTTATACAGGGGTGTAGGCAGAATTTTGTAATATGGAGGCTCTTGACTCCAACATGCCCCTTATACTTCTAAAATAAAGATTAGATGAGCCAAAAAAAGAGTGTGGTACAAGATGTTTCATATTACAGATGTGTTTTATTGAGGTAACCCTAACCATGAAAAATACTTCCCTTTACTCCCCACACTTCTACATTGTAAATATGCACACAGCAGTGAAAATACTTAAAATAGTAAAGATCATAGTCATATCTAAAACTGCATTTTCTCTCTGAGACATTGAAGTGAATTTTCTGCTTCTGATACTTCCATGCTTGCACTCATTTTTGCTTTTAATAAATTTTGTTGTTGGTTTTTTCTACTGCACATGTGTTAATTATTTAAGATATAACTAATAAGGCCTAGCTCCCTTGACTAGCCCATATCTGGGCTAAGATTAAAAAATTGAAAATGAGAGAAAATTAGCTCTAACTTTTCCTTTTCATTCAATTTCAACATGAGGAGACCTCAAGGATCTTAAAGCCTGATATTTATTAAGTCTGAGTTTATGGCAGCTTCAAGTGAGCCAATGTATGGCTCATTAAAATTAAAGCTTGTCTGTGTGTCTTCTGGGGCACCAAGGCTATTTGATGCAGTTCAGGATGGAGTGACAGACCTTTCACATTCTGCAGACAGCATAGGGTAAAATAAAAAACGGATAGTCGCCATTTTGTACCAGCTCTGCTATGGCTTGAGTGAAAAGTGTGACTGGTTTAAATGTGACGATGCAGTCGTCCTCAATGACTATCACCTGAATCAACAAGGTTTAGTGCTGAGCATCTCATAGGGAGCTCCTGCGACAGGAAAAAGGCAAAATCAATTTTTCATAACTTGTCATCTGCGACACCAGGAGCATCAATGAGCTTGTTTCAGGGGCAATTTTACATAAATTGCAACTTGTGCAGCCTATGATATATGATTATATACACTACTACAGTGTATACACAGCCAAACCGACATTGGCAAGCTAAGTGCTCCTAAATTCATGTGCACAAACACTGAATATATGAGACCCAGAGTATCAAAAGATCTATTTCTATCAGAGAGTGAAAAGTTACCCCTATGGCATTTAGTTTTTGCCCACAACTAGCGATACCACTTTAAATATTTCAGGATTTCTAAAGTGTCATGGATACGAATTTATATTCAAGAAGGAAAGAAATCTTTTGGATAGAAAAGGAATAATAACATTTATGATTTTTGTAAGCATACAAATACATTGTAGGTGATGAAGCTAATTCTTATGTGGATGCCAATGTAAGATATCAAATACAGGGATTTCATGTCCAGTGTTGTCTGTACTTCAAACAGGAATGGCAGTCCAGCAAGTGCAAAGGTGAACAAGGGCAAGAATTGTTTTGCACTTGAACTTGTGCTAGTGTCAAAGTGGGAGTAATATTAATGGTCATATGAAAATGCATTACATCACACTTATTAAATCACTTTTATAGTAGGGCAGGGAAAAGAATGCACATATGTGTATTTTCATATTTTATAATGATTTCAGTTATGTTTCAAGATATGATGTAAACATTTTAAGCATAACATTACAATTCTTTTAGGCGCCAGTTTTGTATGTATAAACAAATCATCATTGAATAATTATCAGAATAAAATCATCTTCCAAATGGTGAGGGTTCTTGTCAGTGAATCTGAGAGCTTACAGTGCATGATTATTAACACGCAAATTCATCAGTGTTCCCCCCCTTGGATGCAAAATCAAACATTCAAGAATGAAAGAGTGTTCCGAAACAATGCTCTTACAAATAAGTTTTGTTGGGATATACTTTTACATGTTAACGAAAAATCTAAAAACAAGGTTGAAAAGGACAAGAAAAATTTGTCCATCTTTAACGAAGTTTTAGCAAATAATATTTCAAAATCCACCGCCTCGATCTCTTAATCTCTGAGAATAAGTAATCGCCATAGAGCACCAATGTAAACCAGAAAAGCAAATTTTCGAAAATGGAAGGAGACATCCGACTATGGCTATACTTGTAAGAGCAGGAAATTTGCTTGTTGATTTCATGCCGCTAAATAGTATCAAAATACTCGAACTTCCCCCCTTTGAATTAACCATTAAAAGTGAAAATACGGAGTGACCGAAAGAGAAGTTTCACCTGTTTAGTCGCTTGTGTGGGATATATTACTGGATCTCGCTGTACGGTCAGGGTCAAATACTACAAAAATACCAGGGTCACATAAATTACGTTGAATTCAGGCTGCTATAATTTTAACACATAACATTCGATGATGCTGCTCCACATTTCACAAAAAGTAAATCAAGGGGTATATCTTACCTAAATGTTAGGCAGCTCTGCAGATCGTGGACGATAACCCAGAAATCCGTGACCGCTTGAATGTCAACAAATCAACATATCACAACAAACGACCTCGTGAACGCTTTATCTGCTTCATCAGAGGAGCCAAATGGACGAAAATTAACCACCTAAATGGTCCCTCTCCCATACATGACACTTCATCATGGCTTAGCCAAAGTATCCAATCTATAAGACATGTCTGTTGTCGATTGGGTATGCAAAAAAATCTCCCTTGAAAGTGCTTCAGGACGGCTTTCGGCCATTACGATTTCCCGACAACAAGTGCTTCCCAGCAAGCTTGACGCATGCGCAAACGTTACCACTTGCTGTTGCGTGAGAGCATGTGGCTGTTTACCATTTACCAAAATTTTCCGGAAAATCAGGATGGAAAGTAAATGGAACACGACTAGGCTTTTGTACATTATGCTAGCATTTTTTCGAGCATTTTAGCGAGGCAAAAGCATTGAGCATTATTCGAGCATTTTAGTGGCATTTTCCCCTGAAAGTAAATTTTTCCGAGAAAATAAAATAGAAATTAACTTTTTTCAGGAGCCCATGCCCCACGAGCTCCTGCATTTTTAAAGAAAATGAAGACTAAAACTCAAAATTCACAAAAAACCTAATACTGCTGTTTTTTTTGGCTGTATTTATGAACTTGTACACGTTGTCGTTGTTACTTGCAACACTTGCACGTTTTTGTGAGTGTAAACTTTGAAATTAATTTTAAAAAAACCGTTTGTATAATGAGCATTATCCGAGCATTTTAGTGACTTTTTTGGGGAGACCGAGCATTTTAGTGGGGAAAATGGAGCTTTAAGATGGAGCATTTTAGTGGGGAAGCAAAAGCATAATGTACAAAAGCCTAAACACGACTTTTTGTAGGCTGCGTGGTAGGGTTTGCGTTAAAAGCGGAAGGGGATCGGGGGAAGGGGCGGGGAGAATTTGGGCGCGCGAACGCCTTCCGCGCAGTCTAGACTTTTTGGATCGTTCCATCAGAAAAATTTCCGGGAGCAACGGAACATCTGAAAAGATTTTCCTGTTTTTCCGGACGGAATATCCAAACGGAAATTGATACCGGCTTCAGGCCACCCTGTGGATTCCGGATTCCGTTTACTGGATTCCGGATTCCAGCTCAGTAGATTCCGGATTCCAAAAAGGGCTGGATTCCAAATTTTTTTCTGTTTTAATGCTTTTCTTCGCATTTCGTTTTCGTGTTCGAATCTTGCTATATTGAAAGACGTTGTTTAGAATGCATAACAAGTTTGTTTTCTTTTTCGATTTATAAATTACGTGAAGAAATGTATTACTGTTCCGTAAATGGTTTAAGGTATAATAATGAGGGCGACATTGGGGGACTGTCCACACCGCAACAACACGAAAAAAATAACAAACATCGCATCACCGCAAAAAAACGTGGCGAAACACCGACATCGCAATTTTAAATTTTGTCCTTCGATTAATCTAGTCCAAATCTCCATATGATTAGGGATCTCGGATCTCGGAGCTGGTTTAGTGATTAGCAGAGAGCGAGACTGACCTCAAGACTCTATTTTTCACTTACTCTTTTTTTGCGAACTCTATTTTCAGCTATACAGATAGAAAAATGCTTAATTAGCAGAAACAAAAGAACTCTTGCAAATCATTCCTAAATGTTCACGTTTATTCATTTGATTGCTACATAATAAAGTACTGGGAAAAGGTACAGTCATTGCCAGGGAAAAGCGAGCTGCAATCTGCAAGAAAACGGCCTAACAAAGTTCGTGTGTAACTCCAAATCAATTTTTCCTACCTATGCCATATCATAAACCAGCGAATGTTAATCAAAGTCTTTTGCTATCCACTAATGATGTAATAGAAGGTTCATTTTGTTTGTATGTCGTTACATTCGTGGTTTTCATTGTCCTGTCCGAACGCCTGGAACAGGCTACGTCGAATCATTCAATCATGTGTTCGAATTCTTTTGGAACATTAAAGCAGTATTTCGAAGTAATAGAACTGAACAAAACGTTAAAAGCCGCCAATTGCTAATCACCTCCAAACTATGACGAAGAAAACCTTGGTTCTTAACATGTTTTAGGACATTGTTTTTCGTTCTTTTTCTACTTTTTATTGGAATCATTGTCATAGCGCAAAAAACTAAATTCGGTTACCGCTCTTTTGTAAAACTTTCATTTATAGAGACACAGAAAGCTGTAGAACACGCGCATTAGATATCACTTCTTAACTGAATTGCTTTCACACTTTCTCATATGACTCGTAAGACACGAATTTTAGCCAAATACAAAAAAATACACTTCTCCTAGGACTAGCCTGCGTAGCAGGCGCAAAAAGGGGAGGGAGAGGGGGAGGGGGAAAGCACGAAAGAGCAATTCCCTCCCTTTTTCCCTTTTTCCCTATCCCCTACCCCTTTCGACACCCGCTACGTCCCTTTTTCCTTATCCCCTACCCCTTTTGACACCTGCTACGCAGGCTACCTAGGACGGGATAAGCATATATACTCAGTAAAAGTTTGACAATCAAAAAGAGTACTACAGAAGATTAAATTGGACTTCAAGTTGACAAAAGCGGTGTCCCGGTCAGCGCGGCCCTAAAGTGACTAAAGTTGACTGTGTCACATAATTGTCTAAGAATGATAACATAGCTCAAAATAAATTTCGGACAGTGTCACGTCTCGACGTTTTTGACTGGTCAAAATAAAGATAAAAAGTCATTAACTCTTGACAGTCTGCAAGCCCAAAACTATCAGTATTTAAATCGAGTTCAAAAAGTGGCTTAATAGACATAACGACTCAAAACGTAGTCAAAGATAGCCTGATTCACCCGCGTTCAGTCAAAACTGTAGAGCTGAACTTGTTTGTTCGTTATTGACTTACGCTTCGCAAGCATCCTTGCTGGACAGCATGCGAGAGCAAACCACCCCCTCCCCCCTCGCCCTAGAGGTCAATGAAATCCCTAATCTCGTACCCAGATCTCTTATTGACGAAGCCAAAGGCGAGATCTGACCCCAGTTGTCGCGTTGAATTTAATGTTAAAAAGATAAGAAAGAACACGAAAATTAGTTGGTTCATACTTAAGATGTGCGCATAACCACGTTTTGATAGAACTGATCCTCGATCGAGTCTGAGATGACTGAGAGATCGAGAGAGACCTGCGCGTTTCTGACACGTTGGCTCGTTATTAACGAATATTAACGTTAAAAGCCGACGTTTCGTTATCAACATGACACCATTCTCAAGGCAAAATGAATAAATAATGCGAAGATTTGATTTCTATTTCTCTACAAATTAACATAATAACAAAGGATCACAAGTTCTTTAAGTGAATACCTTTGCACGAATCGAGTCCGCCTGTACTTTTAGGGATGGTTTCAGTTTTCTTATAAAGAGCATCTCCTTAATTAGGCAATCAAATTTGTTAGAACCTTTAGTGAGCACGTGAAATTGTTCTGAAAGAAAAGGTGATACGTCCGAGTTTTGTTCGCTAAAATAATGTTTGCAAATTGATGACGATTTCTGTTTGTGTCCATCAACGCGTTCGTGGAGGTGGCTGCGAGTGTAACCAACATATCCTGCATCGCACAGGTTACATTGAAATTGATAGACTAAACATTGTTGGTTAACAATGGCTGGCTTGACTTCTTGACTTCAATTATGATTGCGAAAAAAATCAATCAGCTGGTTTAAAACTATAAACTTAACGTTTCTTTTGTTCATGATTGTGACTTGCTTGCCGCCACGTTCAGTATAGCCTGCGTTGCAGGCATTTGAAAGGGAAGGCAAAGGGAGGGGGACATTGGGGGGTACCCAATACCGCAATACCGTAAGAAAAAATGGCAAATACCGAAATACCGCGTCGAAAATCGTCTAAATACCGATACCGCATATTTAAACCACATTTATAACCGGTTCCGCTTACTTATGGTTGCTTCCATCCAGCACGTTTAATTATCGCAGGCATTTATGCACCAGATGTCCATGTTTTTTTTTTGATATTTTGGTAGTTCGCAAATTTTCACTGGAAAGTAAACTACATTCGTTCAACCTTTTGGTAGGTCGACCCAACAGCTAATTAATTCCAATAAAAATAACTCTTGAAAGAGCGAAAAACAAACCAACCAAAGCCCTTTCCACGCACGTCTAGTGCAAGTTTTGATAAGTGAGTCTAGTCTACCACGTCAGTCTCTCAGGGGTCAACTATCTCGACTGTCTCACACGCCGCGCCGGTAAGAGGCAAACCTACCAAATTTTTTTTTTTAACTTTACAAGGCGTTTTTCAATTCTCAAAACCCAAGATCTAAACTTATTCTTGTTGCGATAATGTTCGCCTCCTTCACCCTCTTCATAAAAAATTGCCACACAGTCAATGATGACCACGCCGTCTTCAACCTCAGCGACCTCAACCATTGTGAGAAAACGTGTAAGACCTCGAATTACTGGCACAGGTACACAGATTGAAAAGCCTGGTAAGGTAACTTGAGACGACTCATTATCATTGGATGCAACAACAATCACATTGTATCTTTAATATTGACCATTAACTGTCACAAAATGACCCACAAATGGTGTAATCATTTACCGTTATGTCTCAAGACTTCTAAATATTAACTTTTATTGACCTTTATGTCCTACTGTGTTTTGGTTTTGCGTATTGTATCGAAAGGAAAGCGCATATAAACGGTACCGTAATACCGTGAACAATCTTATTTCACCGAATACCGTCAGCCAAAATGATGAAAAACCGCATACCGCAGAGCTAGATGATACCGCAATACCGCACGTTAAAATTAAAATTACCGAAATACCGCATGAAAAAAAGCCCAATACCGCAATACCGTAAACCCCCATGTCCCCCTCCAAAGGGAGTTTTAGCTGCCGCACCTAAAACTCACTTTCCCTTCCCTTTGAAACGCCTGCCACTCAGGCTACGTTCAGTACAGTCCACATATCGACACAAACGAAAAATCATGCAGCTTTGCCTTTGGCACGTTTGGATCTATCGCAGTCAGCTAAAAATTGGTATAAAATTTCACAACACGGTATTACAGGTACCTTTCTCTCTCAGCCTTTTGTTTTTGCTTGTGCTTTCCAATAACAGTAGAAAAGAAAAATCCAACAAACAACAAACTTCAAACTGGTCTGATCGAAGAGTTGGCGAGATTTCACTCGAATGCTGGCGGATGAATGAAAAGGGCACTCACCGCGTCCTTGCACGTTATTACTTTAGTGACAGCTGATTGGTACGCTTCTGACAGTTCCTGGCTTATTCTCAAATAAAGATTATCGAAACCATCATGTTCTCATCGAAACTACGTGGACCAAATCAGGCACTAGGAGACTGTGAATTTCTTTTTTTCTTTTTAGGTAAACTGTTGAACGTGAACGTTTATTTTCAACCTTAAAAAGGCTGGGCTGTGTTCCCTTGAAACCCCCCAATTTTGTGATCCTCCCAGCCGCTCATAAGCAAGGGTTCCCTAGCTATAATTATAGAATTTTTTAAAATCATGCGGCCGTGACCTCGACCTTTCATATGGAGCTCGTGAACTATTGTTTTGACACCAGATATACCGATATTATGTCGTCACGTTCAGGTCTATACCCTCGGGAGGCTTTCCATAGACTAGCCTCCCCGCAGACGTCCTTTGGGGTTCGTTCGTCACGCATTCATTTCTCCCGCATTCATTTCTACCCCACGGATGGTTTTTCTTACGAGCGAGTAGCTCAATTTAATCTGGAGTGGATCTTTAGTAAGTTGGATTCCGGATTCCAATCTTTAGTAGGATTCTGGATTCTTAGTGCTGTATTCCGGATTCCAAAGCCCAGGATTCCGGATTCCGGATTCCGGATTCCACGAGCAAAAAATTCCTGGATTCCGGAATCCGGATTCCCTTACACGGGGCGATGCTTCAGTGTAACCTTACCAAGAGTGATGAATCTACCTTTTTCGTCCTAAATGTAGACTGGGTTTTTGTGCGAAATTGGGTATTGCGGTACATAAATGAAGACGCGTAACGCTCAGCTGCGTCGATCCTCATGCTATATATTCACTTTCCTCTGTCTTTCCCTGTTAAATTTGGTGCAAGTTAAACAAATTGTTAAAAGTAAAACAAATATCTACTCACCAAACGTTGATTAGAAGGAAAACTCTAAGGTTTCCTCGGAGTTTCTTAAGCCAAAAGAGACATTTTGTGACTTTCGTTTTTATCTCTTGAATAAAGTAACAACATAGGGCAGATCATGATCACTTATCGAGCTTGGCATAACACCAGTTTCAATAACTTGGTGAGGGTTTGATGTTATGATCACATCGATCGACAACTTGGTAGTTTTAGTTACACGAGTTGATCTTGAAACCAGCTGCGATAAATTGAAGCAATGGCAAAAATTAGCCAAGGCAATGGCTTCTCTGCATGGCAATCTGGCGTAATTATGTTGCAGTTTCCGTCCCCTAGTATATAAATCGGTTTGTTCATAAATAATTGCCAGTATCAAGCAAGTAGCTTCCCTTAGGTACACATGACTCAGAGCTACTCAGCTGGTGTTGCTGGAATGCGCAAAAGGAACTCCACGCTAGTAATGACTATAAAACGTTTTATTGTCTGGTAAACTCTTACAAACCTTTCAAAAGATGTCATTTTTCTCTCCACTTTTAACTACCTTAACCATACTCTGATTATTAAGTAAATAAACCCCTTCCGGGTATTGTTGGTTTTCAAATGACGTCACTAAAATTCAAATTACAAGACTATCCATCCTACTGAGATTATACTTTCATGGTGTATTGGAACAGCTGAAAACTAATTTTCAAACAAATTTTCGCTTCAAAAGGTTTCTTGGTTTTGTAATAGAGTACGCTTGAATTTCTAACCTTTTGCGTGACGCAGCATTTACATGACGGCCGAGATAGCTGTCATTTAGGTTAAAAAAGTGACTTTTTTCGATGAATTTTGCTATCTAAACAGTTCGAGTATTAGAAAAAGTATTACTTTTGTAGCTAAACTCGGCAACAGATGTTTCTGTTGGTTTCCGTCCGCCATGTTGGAGCTCATCCAGATGAGCTCCCGCATGGCGTCTCCATACAAAGCTCTATAAATTTGGGTAAAACATTTTCTCGGATATCTCGTATACGAATTATTCCTTCGGCCCTAATCTTGGCGAGGGTCTTTGTAAATTTACCTCCTTTCATTCCCCAGATTCTGGACTTTATCTATCGAATGGTTTTGATTTTCATTTTGATTTATTTTGAATGGAGGACACTGAAAACCAGCATAATGCCCTCAACTAAGAGATTGTCCGAAAAATGAACATTTGCTCGAGAAGCGAAGCTTCGACGGCAAATGTGAAATTTTGCGTGCAATTTTTTTATCAAAAATTAAATGTTACATGAAACAGGCTATTTTTGAATAACCGCTACTCTCTTTAAAGCGAGTCCCGGCCTCCATCTTTTTTCCTTTTTTTCTTTTTTTTTTTTTTAATAGGGTTTTAGCAAACAAAAGAACAGAATAGAGTAGAAAAAAATAAAGGTGTATTTTTTTTGGACTGCACTCTTCTAAGACCCTGTTGACATGGAGTGGGGGACCCCGGTCTACAAGGGTAGGCTTCTTTTGTTTTGTGTCCCCCAGAGCGTGAAAACAAAAGAAACCAACCCCACTAGACCGGGGTCCCCCCCTCCTTGTAAACAGGCCCTTAGTTCCCTTTTCAGCATGTTTAACAACATAAGAATTCCTTATAGCTTGAACGTGTTATTCCCAAGAGACAATGAGAGGTTCAAAGTTCCACGCATCGGGGTGCCCCATGGGACGTTTCCAACCGGATGTGCTCCACTTGAATACAGGCTGCTGATCATGGGTAGGACCGCTGACCGCCATGCACTGCAATTCCTTCATCATCTTTGAATTTGTTATCTAAACACATATCAAGCCAATAGGTTAACAACGAGACTGAGCGAAACACAAAGCCTCATCGCAAAAAGGAAAATATTTTTATTTGCGCTCACGGAAGGCTACACGTCAGGAGTTGACAATCGGCTCCTGTACACGTAGATTGCGAGCAGTCTCTCTCTTCCTTAAGATTTAGCGAGGGGAGTGCACGCGCGCGCAAGCGTCGAGCCTCTTCCGCCTTCAGTTACGCGGGTGGTCATTTGCGTGTCTCGTGCGTTTCGCTCGATGGACGAAGAAAATAGAGACTGCTCGTAGTCTAGGTAGACTACGAGTAGTCCTCTATTTTTCCTCTTGGATAGTAGAGCGTGCGAAACGCGAGTGCGCGTGAAAATCACTCCAGGCGAGAAAAGGCGACAGAGAAAAATGAGGGACTACAGACAAAGCCCAAGCTTTTGACCCTTCACGGCCGACTGATTTTGGAGTGTGAAGTTCGTATCCCCTTCCAAATCAATTAAGCACATCCATTCTCTCTCCCCGCCGCGTGTCGCCTTTTCTCGCGTGGGGTGATTTTCACGCGCGCTCGCGTTTCGCACGCTCAACTATCTCTGAGGAAAAATGGGGGACTACTCGTAGTCTATAGTCTAGGCTACACGTTGCCTTAAACTGAATCCGCTGCGATGAAGTACATGAAGCATCCACTATTTTCACATAGACCACAGAGCACCTTGCTCCCCGCCTCCAAATTTTGCATAACCATTGCTTTTAACTTCATCTGGATATTACAGTCATCCCCAGAGAAATCGAAGGCACACATTTTTTTTTTTTGGCGGGGGCAGCGGAGGTAAACAAGATGTATTATGGTCTATGTATGTGAAAAATGGAGAATGGAAGAATCCCATTTACTCCCATGGGTGGTTGTTTTGAAGAAACAGGCACGGGAAAAAAAGATATTTAATTAATGAGGCTATGTCACGCTATTTGCTATCTTTTTAATCGTCGTGTTTTGCAATGAATAGCTAAGATAAACATGGAATGAAACTTTTTATAAAATTGTAATTTAACCCTTTAAGTCCCAATAATGACCAACAACAATTTTCTCCTAACAATATCCATACACTGTCAACAGATAAAGTTATGAGAATTAATAAAATGATCACCATAGAGAAAATTCCATGATCTTTTATCAAATTCTGCCAACTAATTCTTAAAGGAGATGTATGGAGATCAGTTTGGAGCATTTGTATGTGGATATTGGGGCTTAAAGGGTTAAAGCTATTATTGTGGCTGGTGATCCCTGATGCCAGTTGATATCTTCTTCATAACTATATAGGAATAGTACGTGTATGGGTAAAAACTCTAAGTAACGAGTTAAGCACAGAATTGACCTAAAACAGCACTATTCTCTTGATATAACCCCGCAAAGTAAGTAAGAGCTAGCGTGCGCAGTCAGTGTTTGTTCCAGGAGCGTCACGATTGAGGGTGAACCGTCTTTCGTGCAATCTTTATTTTTCTTTACAGTAGTAGCCTGAGAAAACAGCAGCGAGACGTCGGCTGCAAGCGAGAATAGGGAATTTAAGCAAAGACGTTTTTTAGCGACGCACGTCAGCTTGGAAGTGGACTTTTTTCATTCTTAAGCGGTATTTTTGCCCAAGGTTTTGACAAATCGTGTCTATAATACGAAAGAGACTAAGAAATACAAATTTGGTATTTGTCAATTCATTCATTCAATGAAAAAGATCTAATTTCCGGTCGACGAGCGACGCTCAAAAACGCCTTTACTTAAGCTCCGTATTAAAGACCGTCTGAGTGAGTGCCGTCCTGAATCAGCTGAATCCTCTATTGATGACCGGACGAGCGTTTCGACAACCTGTATGCTGGTCATCTTCAGATTCAAAATGAGTTCTGAATTGCCAGTTGATTGTATTAAACTTGATTAGTCAGTACCATCGGAAAATCAGTTAATTTTGGTTTCTTCAGAATCTCAATCACTCAGTTTCTCTCTAGCCTGCTTTAAGCCCCGTCTGTCTATGCTAAAATACATAACTTAATATCAAAGCGAGACGTACCTTAGCATCAATTCCGCCGTGCTTTCTGTGTCCCAGTGCACTAATTGGATATTTTCCGTCTGCGGGATTAAGATCTGAGCGAGCAGAGATGCCATTCTCTCCACTGTAAGGTGGGGTGCAGTTACAACGAGACAGAGGGTCTTGTTTAAAGTCATTGTATCTGAAATACCAAAACAGTTTCTAAGCTTAATCTGTGCAGAAAACAAAAGAGACGATATTTTTGATGCACGTTGATAGAGACCTTTAAATTCCAAGAAGAGGCGACTACGCGAACGAGATTTTCTCAATAATACGTAGTGCGCGCGCGTGAATAAGCGTCATTTTGGTGGGAAAACGTGATAGCCACAGTCTTTCTCTAACGGGTTTTAGCGAGAATAGAGACCTTTAGATTCAAAGACGAGAAAGACTACGAGGGCGAGATTTTTTTTCGCGTATTCGCAAAACAAATAGACATTCCGGAATGCTTTCCTGCACTTTTTTCATCAGAAAGGTTAGCACTGTTATCTTTATTGAAGGAGGTTACGCCCTCTCCCGATCGCAAATTTTAAACCTTCTAACATTTTACATCTTGTTTCCGCCACTACGACATTCTCGCTGAAAATTCTAAAAATTCCCACCAAGATAAACTAGGAAAACGCTTTCCCGTCGTTACAGAGTGAACCATGTAACCGGAAATAAACTATTACATGCCTCATGAGTTTCATCATAGTCTCCATGTCAACAACTTTGCTGTGGTCACGTCTGAAGATCTGTCCCCGAGGACAGTCCGCATAACTAAAAAATGCACCAAACTTCTTGTAACTCGCCATGGTGCCACTAATGTTGTAAATGTACGGAAAATACCTGAAAGAAAAAACAACCAAAGTTAAGTAAATTTCATTTTATCTAAATATATTTACTTTATGTTTTCATTTACGGGTTCACCCATTTGATTAGAGGATAAGACAAGATAACTTTATTTAGAAACGGTTAAGTCCTTCAAGCAGTTACTAGGAATGAAAAAAGAAACCAAAAAACTAGCAACGAATGATATTATACGATAGAATATAAGATTGGATCTACTTAAATTAAACTAACATTAAGCGTTAAAGAGGGAAAACGTCCTGCTTTACAAGGACGCCGTATAAAAAACAACCTTACTCTTCGAAATTGTGGCAACGAATGCTTGATTTGAGACTTGTCAGTGACGATGCCCACCTTAAATGATCCAGCAAACTATTCCGCAATAATGATCCACTATAACTGAAAATCTTTTTAAAGTGTTCAGTACGGGGAAGCGGCACTGCCTGTTCTTTTTCACCGTATTTCTCTTAAGTTATATAGCCTTGAGTCCATACGTAAAATATAAATTTCGAGCTCAGATATTCAGGAGTTTCATTATTAAGCCCCTTATACATAAGAATAGATAGATCGACTCTACGCTGCAGCTCAAATTTATGCTAATTGAGTAACTGAAGGAGGTCATCCAGACTAGCATCGTAATTTAAAGAAGTAATTATACGAGCAGCACGTTTCTGTAGTTTCTGGAGGCCCTTATTACAATTTGCCCAAACCGTGCTGCAGTATTTGAAGCGAGGCTGTAAAAGAGCGCGAAAAATAGTGAGGAGGGTTTCACGAGGAACAAAGTTTCTGACGCACTTAATTGCAGTAATGCCAGAAGCAACCTTTTTACAATTAGGAACTAAAATCTGTTTAACTGGAGCTTCATTGACGATAATATATACTTGGTTTCTCCGATACGTTAGATAGTCTTTGTCTTCAGACAGTGAGGAGAAACTCAGTTTTTTTTCATGTTTAGCGTGAGCTTATCTGATTAGCTACAAGCCAAACATAGACCCTGATCAGATCATAATTAAGCTTCTCATTAAAATCGTTGATGTCATTGCTAGCGTAGGTAATGCCTGTATCGTCGGCCTACCTTCTCGGTTGAGAATAATGCAGACAATTGGGCAAGTCATTTATGTACAATAAAATAATAAGGGGCCTAAAATGGTCCCGTGGGGCACAGCACTCGTGACAATTGTCTTACCCGACTCACAGCTGTTTACTGCACAGGACTGTGAACGAGCATTAAGTTGTTATGACCTGAATCAGTCTCTTTCGGGGCCGGTTATACCGTAGCAGTAAAGTTAAGATAGCGGTAAGGTATGATCATAAGCCTTTCTGAGGTCCAGAAAGACAACGGCATTAATGTTGCCGTGGTCACTATCCAATGACCAACTACCATTTGCTTCAAGTAAGGCAGTAACGGTAGAGTGAGTATAGTACGAAAGCCTGATTGGTGACTTGACAGTAGCTTACTATCATTCAAGTATTTATACAGCTGGTCATAAATTATGCGTTCAAAAATCTTTGCCCCTAAGGGTCATCAGAATTTAAAGGTTTTATCTGGGGACGATCTTTGAGGCGATCACCAGTCTTAGTCACTGGCATAATCTTCAGTAATGAATCCTTTCAACACTGCTTGCCGGCTGTAATCGACCTTTAACTGGATTTCTGTAAACAAAGGTACCAACTTATACGCTGGGTCCCTGAGACTTTTCATGCGAGGTTACAGGTTTCGGTCATGTCCTTAAGGTGATTCGCGGCTTCACCTTCACCCAGTGTAATCAAGTAGAGACTCAAGTTGACAAAATTCAGTGATTTATACAGGGTGTGAATTTGACAAGCTTTGGCCTGGTTTCATTGTGTGTCATCACTGGAGTGGAATACGGGCTGGAATACTGGAAAGGTCTTTTCACTAGATTGTTTATTTTGTTAAATACTAAAAATTTATGTAATTTATCAGTCTAAATTTAATCGCACTACCCGCTCCTATTAGCAGGGGCTAATTATGGTTAATATAATTTATTAATTTGTAATTGTGCGAATTAGGTGCGTGTGAATAATACAATGTAACTATAATAAAAATGGTATAAATCTGTCGTTTGCACTTACGGTATGTTGTAACTGGCCCAGTAGGTGCTCTCTTGTAAGAAAACAGACATGTCGGCTGATTCTATTATCCCAGGTAGCTGTTCCAGGATCCACAGTGTTCCAGGCTTGATGTTCTCTCCAGGTGTGAATCGTTTGT